TACACGGGTCTTAGAAGAAATGTAAGTGGGCTGGGTGTAAAACAAATAGTAACCTTGGGGACACTACATGAAGGGCCTGCCCCTCTCAGGTGCCATATAAGACGCTGTCTAACGTGGGTGTCTACCATGACCCTGGCCCCCAGGCTGCACACACACATAGTACTCACAGTGTAATGGGGTGCTTGCCTCCATCATGAACCCAACACGATGTGACTATAGAGGAGGGGCTTATTCCATTCCAGTAATACCTACCAGGAAGGCATTACTGATGAGATTACCCTTGAGAAGGACTTGAGGAGTGAGTAGGAGCTCATCTCTCTATTTCCAGTCGCACCTGAACGCTCTTTAGTCCAATCAGGCCAGTCGCCCGGTCCCACAACCCCCCACGCGCTGTTACGTCCTCTCTTAAGCCTTTGATTATGCCCGGCGTGCCCCGCCTCCTCCCCCCTTACGCATCCAATTCCCACCAACCCATAAAGGCCTAACGCAAGCCTTCCTCCTGTACAAAACCCACGAGGACCTCCCAGGTGTGAAATGTTGAGAACGTTCCAGAGGCAGGACGCTACTGGGAGGCTAGAAGGCATTTGGGACACGGCAGAGTGTAGAAAGGAGGGTCTCACCACGTATGGGGAGAAGCTTACACATTTGGAAGTCACAGACTCACTGGCTCTGTGACTATAGGCAGACCCTTCACCTCTGTGTTCCTCCGTCGTCTTAGCTCTGACTGGAGGCTTAGCCTCATGATCATTAAGGTCCCTTTGAGTTCTAAGACTATACCTGTGATTTTGCAAAGAAATTTGGTCTGTTGTGTTTCCAGTAGGATCAGCTTTTACCATGTTTCTTATGTAACATGATTAGTAGAAAATCACTAATCAGTGGTAACTGTATGGAAGACGGTCTTCTCTGTACCATCTCTAAACGCTGTGTAATTCCTACCCTGGATTTAGGAAACTACGCAGGTCACAGGTCCATTGAAATATCGCCCTGCTACTGCTTTAATCAGTTCCTGTTACTCTATGAATCGACCACTGTGGGTCCTTCTCTAGACTCTTACAGTGCCATGGCAGTGAGAAAATGGAGGGCGGGTGGGGTACAGACCCGAAATATTAAGACACGGAAACACTGCCAATGGAAAACAATACACATAAACTAGGGAATCAACAAAATGATGCCAAAATAATAACTGAAAAAGACATTTTTTATGAGATATTAGTAATCATAAATCACTGAGAAAGGATTGTTTGCATTTTATCAGCTTTTACTACTCATTCAGTTTGCTTCGTTCCAACTTGCTGTATTAGCTATACTTTTGGCTATACGCAAAAGAACCATCTCTGGCTAGAGTTAAGCAAAAAGCAAGTCTATTGAAAAAAACACAAGAGTCTCCCATGAGCTCCAAGGAAAAGTGAAGAATGGAAAAAACCAGATCAACTCCTGGGACCTCAGCAGTGGGGCTGCATGGACCTTCTCACACAGAGTCGCCTTCAGTCTGACTTCAGCTGCCATGATTCCCAGTCTGTATCTCTACCCCTCCCCACCCATTTTGATTCCTAGGAGACAGCACCCTTTGGACACAATTTGGGTCAAATGTCTTCCTCAGGCACAGTCAACTTTGACAAAAAAACATTTCTTACGAGAGTAACATATCACAAACATGGCCACAAGGGGCCCAGCCTTGTAGATAAGGCGGTAATGTTGGCTCTAGGAAGCAACCTCAAAAGATGTCTTCCTACTGTATATACATTTTTCTGCTGTGTATTTTTTTTACTCTTCCCCTAAATCCCTCCTCCCCCAGTTACATATTTCCATGTATATACATATATATATAAATATATATATATATATATATAGTTGTATAAAACTGCACCTTGAGTGGACTTAAAATGTCCTGCTAAGTGTATATATTTTATAAAATTTAAATAATGAAAGGGCAGAAAATGGTCTTCAGTTCCTCTACACATTAAAATGTACACAACTCAATTTGATTGTGTGCACTGTATAAAAGCATCCAAGCTTAACTAAAATATTCAATACATGGAGACCAGCCATCAGATACGGTCTGTGATAATGTAACTTTTACTCTGACAACTATGGATATTCTTTCTGGATCATTAAAGATATTCAGGAGCCGAGAAATGAAGCCATGCATATTTAGTCAATGAAGTTACGGCAAAAGAGCCAAGAATAAGGGGCCGGCCGAGTGGCTCAGTTGGTTAAGAGCTCGCTCAAGAGTTTGAGCTCTGAGCAACAGCGGTTCGAGTCCAGCCCGAGCTGAGCAGCCGCTGAGCTGCCAATAGGTAGCAGGATGGCTCAGCTAAAAAAAAAAAAAAAAGAGCCAAGAATATACAATGGGGAAAAGAAATTCCCTTCAATAAATGGCACCGGGAAAACTGGACCACCACATGTAACAGAATGAAACTGGACCACTGTCTCACACCACACTAAAGATTGGCTCAAAATGGATTAAAGGTGTGAATGTAAACCTGAAACCATAAAACTCCTAGAAGAAAACATAGGTGATAAGCTCCTTGACATCAGTCTTGGCAATGATTTTTTTTGGATCTGACCTTAAAAGCAAAGACAACAAAAGCAATAATCAATAAGTGGGATTACAGCAAACTAAAAAGCTCTCTGCACAGCACAGGAAATCATCAAAAAAATGAAAAAACATTTCAAAAGGGAGAACATATTTCCAAATCATATACCTGGAAAGGGATTAATATCCAAAACATATAAAAATTTACACAACTCAATGGCCAAAAAAAAAAAATCCTATTAACACTGGGTTGTCGGAAAAGTCATGACGTATTTTTCTATGTGTTTCATTGTAAAAATGCGTCATGACTTTTCTGACAACCCAATAATTAGACGGAGGATCTAAATAGTTTTCCAAAAAAGACACGCAATGGCCAACAGGTACATGAAAAATGCTCAGCATCACTAATCATCAGGGAAATGAAAATCAAAACCACAGTGAGATGTCACCGCACACCTGTCAGAATGGCTGTCATCAAAAAGACCAGAAATAACAAGTGTCGGTGAGGATATGGGAAAAAAGGGAAACCTTGTGCATTATTGGTGGGAATGTAAATTAGTGTGGCCACCATGGAAAACAATACGGAGGTTCCTTAAAAAACAAAAAATAGATCTACCATATATATGATCCAGCAATTCTACTTCTGGGTATTTAGCCAAAGAAAACAAAATCACTAATTTAAAAACCTATATGCACCCCTGCGTTCACTGCAGCATTATTTACAGTAGCCAAGATATGGAAACAACCTAACTGTCCATTGATGGATGAATAGATAAAGAATAAGAACATGTGGTATGTGTGTGTGCACGCACGCATATACACATATAGAAATATATGAAATCTTGCCATTTGCAACAACATGGACGATGGATCTTGACGGCATTATACTAGATGAAGTAAGTCAACCAGAGAAAAACAAACACCTCGTATGTGGAGAATTTAAAAAACAGAACACTAAGCTATAGATACGAATAGATTGGTGGTTGCCTGAGGAGGGTGCTGAGTGAAATGAGTAAAGCGGGCCTAAAGGTAAAACTTCCAGTTATAAAATAAGTCATGGGGATGTAACATACAGCAGGTGACTATACTTAATAATACCGTATTGCATATTTGAAAGTTGCTCAGAGAGTAAATCTTAAAAGTCCTCATCACATGAAAAAAAAAAATTTTGTAACGATGCAGAGTAACGGATGTTAACCCGACTTATAGCAGGGATCATTTCACAATATATACAAGCATCGAATCATTATGCCGCCCACCTGAAACTAATACAATGTTATATGCCAATTATACCTCATTTTTAAAAGATTTTTTAATGAAAAAATATGATCAGTTCATTTTCTGAAAGTAAAATCTAGACCTTCATCAACAGCAGGTATTCTGGGAGACAAAGGATGCATACAGTATGTATGTCCCGTATGCTCCTTTCAACAATCTGTGAAGGAAGTTCCTCTCGGACAATTTCAGGGACCTCGTCTAGACCTTCACCTTCCTCCTGTGGGATGCGTCTACCCCTACTTCTTGAAAGTTGACTTTTTCTTGGCTTCCTTGATATTGGGCTATCAGGTTTTCCCCATCACAGGCACCTTTTCCCACCTACAGCCCTGTCCACCAGGGAGGGAAATCATCCAAGACTCATTTTTCTTGTCTTGTCTTTCACTACCCTTCTCCCCTTACAGAACTCATGGATGTAACTGCCACCTCGGGGCCAAAACTGCCAAGTCTATCCTGAAAACCACCTCCTGTGCTAGTCTACTGCTTCTACAGAATTCCCCTTCTATGTCTCATTCACACTGGAAGGGCCGTATTATCAGCCCAAAACAGTATTATGCCACAAACCAGATTACCTCCCTATGTTCATTTTGAAATAACAACTACCAATTTTTCCCAGTCTTGGGAACATTCCAAATCCTTGGAAATCACGGAATGATCTTTCTATCAAATGGCACACCTCCTCAGGCCTGCAGACTGGTCTGAATTTGGGTATTTGACCACCAAAGTACGACTTTCCCGAAACCCTTACGGTTCTTCAGAAGTGTAAGTCTAACATGCCTGATACTGTATCATTTGGGGGGAAATTGCTCTCGCTTGTAAAATGAAAAGCAAACAGCAAAAACACGAGAGAATCTCAGTTCTCTGTCGGTGAAGACTTCTGACTTAATGCAGTAGGCACGGACTGTAGTGCAGTGCTCCATCGTCCCACTCTCAGAATAGACTGGCATCCCTTAAAGCGCTGCTAATTCTGGAAAACCACCTATAACCTATCAGAACCAGCCCAAGCGGATGATGACTACAAGTCCCATGATGCAAAGCAGGAGCCCTGACCTCGGTTGGCCTGAGCTTCTCCTGAGAATTGTCTTCTGCTCACCTGTCAGGCAAACTAGGGAGCGTAGCCTCCATTGCCCAAAGCCTGACGTATATAAAAAAAATAATACAGCTGGAGGGGAGAAAGTAGAATTCTTACCACAAAACTAGGTTCAACCAGCTGCCAGAGGACCCTGGCCCAACTCCTGCCAGCGCCGCCGGGGGCGGGCGCCCGGGAGTGACGTCACTTCCGGGAGCGGCGCCCCGCCCCGCCCCCTCGCTCCCCCGCGCGGGGATCCAGGGCGCAGCAGCCCGGGCAGAGCCCGGCCGAGGCGGAGAGCAGTCGCTCAGGAGGCGGAGGATCACGTGAGGCCGCTGGGTGCCGTGGGTGGAGGCGGAGAGCTGCGGTGCGGGCGGGTCGGATTTAACCGTCCCGGGAAGCGCGGCCGATCGGGATTGCGGAGCGGGCAGAGGTAGGGACAGGGCCGCGGGCGATGACCTGGGCGCCCGCGCGGGGACACCTGCGCCGGGTGCCAGGCGGGCGGCGGGCGGCGAGCGGCAGGCGGGCTCCACCGGGGGACCAAGGGGCGCCGGGCCAGCTCAGGCCACCGCCACCCCGCCGTGCGCACGGGGCGGCCGGGGTGGGACAGCCTTGGGGCTCCCGCGCCCCCTGGAAGTGGGGGGTCTTCCACCCACCGAGCCCGAGCCCCGTGGCCTGCTCAGACGCGCAGCCGACACTCCCGGGGTCGAGCTGCGCCGGGTGCCCCCACGTTGCTCTCTGCACCCACTTCCCTCGCCCGCTGGCCGTGTCCGGGGCTCGGGCTCGGGCCACCTCCCCTGTCCGAGGGCTTCCAGAGCAGGACGACCTGAGACGCTGGTGCTCCGAGCATCCGGACGCCCGGCGACCGTGCAGACAAGACGTTCTTGCGGAGCCCACCGTTTTCTGAACGTTTGCGTAGCGCTCGCCTGCTTTTGCAGCCGGCGGCCGTACTGATTGATGTGCGTCCTCCCCCAAGCCCCCCAAACCCCGCAAATCCCCAGCCCCCCCCAGCCTCAGGTAGTCGCGTGGCAAAGGGCAGGGCCAGCGCGCAGGCCTTGACAAAAGGCTGCGGGTTCAAACTTTTATTGACTTCTTTTTCGGGGAGGCCTTCAGGCGGAACCGAGGAACGGTGAATCAGCAGCTCAAGTTTCTGGACGCTCTGAGGATGGGGAAGGTTGCCCAGAGTCACGTGCTGGGTGAAAAATCTCGTTTCAGCACCTTTGCAAGTGCGAGTGGCTCACCTTCCACCTTTCTCACCGGTGGCGTTGCGTAGATGTGTTTACATGCTGTTACGTGTGATTTCATTGGTCTGTAGCTATTCGTTTATATAAGTTTCTTAGCTTAGTGGTGAGCCTTGTTTTTCTTGGTATTATTATTCAGTTATTCTGAAATTAGTCTTTTTGACAACAGAGGTTGTTGAGTGTGAGTTACGAAGCTTTGTTAAGGACCCTCAGTTTACAGCATAGCGGAGTTAGTGAGTTTAGGGACACGATGTAGAACATTTAACCTTTTAATCATTTCATCCTGTTGGATGTAAGTTTAGTGTTCATTGGGTTGTATTTGATTAATTTAATATGACCAATTATTTTTTTTCAATTACATTTGATCCTGGGATTAACGAATTGTTACTTTAAGAGCATCTAAGCTCATGGTTCACTGTTACTACTCTGGGTAATTCTTTAGTTTCACTAAGTCAAAAGATAATGTGAATAATTTTCCTCTTTCCTTTCCTTCCTTTCCTCCCTGTACTGTATGTAGTACTGTCGGGACTATAAGCAGGAAATAAAGCTTTAGGAAGGTCTTCGCCACTTTTCCTCTTTCTGACTCTTATAACTCAGGTGAAGTGAACATTGCACAAATCCATCACAAAGAAATACAGTGTGGAAAACAAAGGATAACATATAAGTGTCAAGATTAAAGGTGTGAAGTAGTTCTGCTCTCTTTACCTTGCAAATGGAAATTCTTAGAGATGATATTTTGCAATGCAGGGAAGAGATATGGGGTGTTTTTCATTTTAAATAAGAGAGTGTCACAAAAATAAAAGAAATGGATGTGAACGTTTTGTTTCTTTTGGATACTATTCCAGATTAAAGACTAATCTTTCAATGTATTCTCCCCATTTTTAGACAGTGAATCCCTGAGAGGACAATAATGGATTGCACGGCAGTTATTCTCTAAGTGTTTGGATTCAGCAGTGTGCAGCTTTGTTGCAAAGGCCCAAAGAAGATGGCAACTCCTTATGTCCCAGTCCCTATGCCCATAGGGAACTCGGCTTCCGGCTTTACAACCCACAGAAACCAAAGAAGTTCTTCTTTTGGGAGTGTCTCCACAAGCTCAAACTCTTCCAAAGGCCAGTTGGAAGACTCCAATGTGGGTAACTTGAAACAGACAAGTGTACCTGATCAAATGGATAGCACTTCATGTGACTGTAGCAGTCCCGTCGTTAGGACTAAATTTACAGGCACAGATTCTTCCATTGAATATTCTGCTACACCGAGGGAAAGTGAAGAACAAAACCCTGAAACAGCGAGTTTGGAAGATAGACCTTCGACGCCTACTATTCTGGGTTACGAGGTGATGGAAGAACGTGCTAAATTTACCGTGAGTATTGACTTCTGCTGTGCACCCATAGAACGGGAAAGATTGACTCACCTGTGTTCTAAACCTGTGGTACATTCATTAACCATAGCGTGTACTTGTGATGTCTTGAAGGTAGACTTCACATGATTTTTCCACCTCTAAATTAAGTCATTGGCGTAAACTTTTTGTTTTTCTTAAATGAATTTGCACAAACCAGACACACCTATGCAACTAGCACAAACAACATTACTCGCATACTTACCCACCTCCCATGATCTCCTTGGGTCACACCCACTCACCTGATAGCCTACGTTCCTTTGGCCTATTTTTGTACTTGATGTAAATGGAATTACGGGAGTATGTCGTCTTTTGGGAGTGGTCTCTTTTCTTCAGCATTATGTATGTAAGATTCATCCTTGACCTTGCATATAATTGTAGGTTGCTCGTTTTTTTTTTATTGCTGATAGTATGCCTTTATGTAAATATACTACCAGTTATTTATCCATTCTACTGTTGAAGAGCATTTGGATTATTTCCATTTTGGGGCTCTCACAAATACTACTGCTGTGCACCCTTTAGTGCTTGTCACCCAGTAAACACATGTACGCATTTCTGTGTGATGTCGGCCTAGGAGTGAAATTGCTGAATCATGCCCAGCTTTAGAAGACACTGATGGCAGTGTCAGGGTGGTTGTGCTAATTTATACTCCTTTAAGCAGGGTGTGAGAGTTCCAGTTGCTCCATGCGTTCCCGGCATATGGTCTATTTCCATCCTTTTCACTTTGGCTCTTCTTAGTGGATAGAGTGCTACCACGTTGTGGTTTTAATTTGCACGTCTTAATGACTAATTAAACTGAAGACTTTTTTTTGCCATTTGGATATTCTCTTTTGTGAAGGATCGGTTCAAGACCTTTGTTCATTTTTCTCTGGGGAAGCCTTTTCCAGTTTGGTTTGTAGTTTTCTACACATTTTGGACACAGGTCTTGTTTCGGAACATGTAACATCATCATCATCTCTCGCTCTCTGGTTTGCCTTTTCACTCCCTCCATGATGCATTTGATAAACAAAAGTTCCTAATTTTAATACAGTCCAACTTACTAATTTTTTATTTGATCAGCACTTTTTAAAATCTACCTACTCCCAACTAAAAAAAAAGATGTTGTCCTATGTTCTAAAAGCAATTGTTGGACCTTTCGTATTTAGATCTGTAGACTATCGGAATTCATTTTTGTCCATGCTGTGAGGTAAGGGCCAACACACATTTTTTATTGCTCTGTATGGGATCAAGCGATCAGGTTTTTATTGAAAACACCACTCTTTCTCCTCAGCATGTGTGCTGTTGCCTGTGTCATAAATCAGATGACCATAAATGTATGCGTCTGTTTCTGTGTTCCATTTTTCCCTCCTTTACCAGTTCCACACCGTCTTAATTATTCAAGCTTCATGGTAGGTCTTGAAGTACTTAGGTGGCCTAAGTACTCCCGCAGTGCTGTTCTCCAGGATGGCCTGGGCTGTTCTTGGTCCTTTGCGTAGGATTTATCAAACCTGTGGAACTAATCTAGGGAGAACTGACACCTTTACAATACTGAGTCTGAATCTATGAACCTGGTCCATTTACTTAAGTCTTTTATTTGTTTTAATAATGTTTTGTAGTTTTCAGGGCAGCGGTCTTACATCTTTTGGTTAGATTTATTTCTAGGCATGGATGTCTTGTTATCTTTTTCTGTTTTCTGTTTGTTCTTTGCTAGTTTATGTATATTGGGCTTGTATATTTATGTGTCCAGCGACTTTGCTAAATTCACGTATCAGTTGAAATACTTTGTTCTTTCTCTTGGGTTTTCTTAAAGTTTTATGTTGATGTCAATATTTAATACTGTAAATTTACAACAGCATAGAAGGACCTCCAAGAAAAAACTTGAGATAATCTATGAAGAGACAATCTTTAGAGTTACATTATCATGACTAATGATGTGTTGGGACATCTCCATGAACCTGACTTTTTTTAGAGTGGTTTTGGAAATGATAATAAACCGGTGGCTCATTTCCTTACAGCGACCTACTTATAAAGGAATGAGCATTCACCAAGGTGACGTGTGTGAAAATGCAAGTTCATAGGCAAATGTAAGGCAGTGCTATATAAATAGGAAGTCTTTCAAGGTATTATAGAGGAAGAACTAAGCAACAGATACGAGATTAATCGTATTCATTTATCCATTAATGTAACGTATTTTCAGTACCTATTAGGTGTCAGGCACCATTACCTTTGTATCTTAGATCAGGACTTCCCGGAGACTTGGAAGGGCATCCAAATAATCTTCTTTCTCACTTATATGTTACAAAGATAAATGACTTGCGTTTTAGTGTCTTATTTCAAAACTAAAGGATTCATCCTTAGCTCTTGCTGATTCTCCCCCTTAAAAGCTGAAAGAGTTGTCTGTCAGGGGGAAAAATCAAGTGGTAAGGGTGGTGTACAGTTCCTAAATAATGAGCTGTCTCTAGAGCTCCCAGTAGGGCCATCGTGTGAGCCACGAATGTGAGTCATATTTGTAATTTAAAATTTCCTAGTAGCCATGTTAAAAAAAAATAAAAACAAACAGATGAAATTATAATTAATAACATTTTATTTAAAATAATATATTTAAGATATGACCATTTCAACATAAAAAAACATTTTAATGAAATATTTTCGCATCTTCTTTCATACTAAGTCTTTGAAATCTGGTGCGGATTTTACAGTCACAGTGCACGTCAACTTGGACTAGTCTCAGTTCACGTGTCCAGTAGCCACATGTGGCTGGAGTGCCACTCTCCAGCTACAGCTGAAAGTTACTGTCCAGCAGACTGCAAGGAAAAAAGCTACTCTTTTTAAGGGCGTTTCATTCATTCAACAGATGGTTGTTATTCAGTTCTTCATATGTGCCATGTATTTATAGCGTAGCCCCAAAACCTGCACCAGATTTCCTCCGAGATTCTGTTATAAATAGTCCTTCCTCATAATAAATTCTAAAATTGTTCTTATGAAAAATGGAATCTAGTTTTTTCTTATTATATGTGTTTTAAAACATGGACTTGCTCCAACCAAGTTTTTCTATTCCATAGCCTGGATGATTGTGTATAATGATAGAAATGTAAACTGTTATCTAATGTGGGTAATTTTTAGCTTGTAATTTAGCCTTGAAGATAAAAACTTCAAATTTATTAGAAAACTTTGCCTTGTAGTTATTGAGTTTAAAAATTAAATTGATTGTGTAGGACAATAGTGGTTATTTTTCATAGCTTTTTCAAGCATGATTCTTTTATCAATTTTAAAATATGTTGGCATAACATGTATTTTGGAAACTGATTACCGTATTTGCCGGCGTATAAGACGACTCGGCGTATAAGACGACCCCCTAACATTTCCACTCAAAATACAGAGTTTGTTATATGGTCGGCTGTGTGCGATTTTGCGAGTGTGGCAAAATCGCATAACAGCCGAGCATACACCCAGCAGCGCTGCTGATGCCTGAACAGTATGTGGAATGAAGTGGGCGGGCATCGGGAGGCCACTATGGCACGGGGAAGCACTATGGGCAGTCTATCTGAAGTGTACCTGGCGTATAAGACGACCCCCCACTTGGAGGCATATTTTTCAGCGCCAAAAAATCGTCTTATACGCCGGCAAATACGGTAGTTTATTATTAGTGTGCACCATAAAAAGCGTTTTGTCTCAAATTTGCCATAGTCTTGTTTCTTAAGAAAAAACCTTGCTTTCAGTGCCTACATTGATGATTTGTACAATTGATGGTCTAAATGATTTCTGGTATTTTTTACATAATAAGTGGTAAGATCTAGATTATCAACTAAAAGTTTTTTAAGTATGTGACTTGACATTTTAAATATATTTGCATATATATATTTTTTTCTTTTTTAATCCTCTTCCCCCTCCGCACACCCAACATAGGTATATAAAATACTAGTAAAGAAAACTCCGGAAGAAAGCTGGGTAGTTTTCAGAAGATACACTGACTTCTCTAGGCTGAATAATAAAGTAAGTACTTTAATAAATCCAAAACTGACTTTTCAATTTTGAATTGTTATCTGTTCCTGACAGTTCTGCTGTTAGACTTGCGTTTTCTCTTCCTTGTTAATTATCTGAGTGCCTGAGAAAATTCACTCTGTTTCATTTCACTTTACCAGCCTGAAGCCTTATCTCTCCACATAACTTTCTTCTTTTGGAAACAAAAAGTTATTTTTAATATAAAACTGTGAAACCCTTAAAATTATTAACACAAATGTAATTTAAAACAGAGCTGGGTATTATCTAGGGGGTTGAGTGGGCTCAGCTGGGTTTGCTGCTCAGCGTCAAAAGCTGGCAAATCAAGCCTTTGCCTGGACTTATCTGGAGACGGAAAGAATCGGCTTTCGGGCTCATTCAGGCTGTTGGCCGAGTTCACTCTCCTGTGGTTGGAAGACTGAGGTCCCTGTTTCCTTGCTGGTTGTCAGCCAGAGGCCCTTACCAGCTCTTGCAGACCCCTCTCCAGTCCCTGCACATGTCCTCCCCACCCCCACAGCTTCACAGCCAGCACCAGCAAGTCAAGTCCTTCTTGTGCTTTGAATCTCTCTGACTTTCTCCTCTGCCACCAGCCACAAAGAAAGCTCTACTTGAAAGTGCTCCCATGATAAGATTAGGCCCACACAGATAATCTCCCTATCTTCAGATCCACTGAATAGTAACCCTAATTACATCTGCAAAGCCTCTTTTGCTGTGTAAGGTGACGAAATCACAGAAGCAACACCGGGGGCAAAGGTCATGGGGCCATCTAAAACTCGGTGGACTGCACATATAAACAGACAGGGTAATAATAAACCTGAATACATGAGGAACCCTTAAAAATAAGTCACAAGAAAAGCAAACCCACAAGTAGGAAATACAACAAATGATATGAAAAGGTAATCCACAGAAGAAATAGCAATAACCGATAAATTCGGAAAATGTTTGCTATCACAAGCACGTTAAGAAAAGAAAATTGAGAAAGTATTTTTCAGCTGTCAAGTTGACAGACATTTAAGCGGTATTATCCATTTGCCATTGTTGGAAATATGGATCTTCCTAGAGTGTACCCTAAAGTTGTACCTAATTTTGACACCGTAGTCACATTTCTGGGATTCATCCTGTATAAGAAATCAGGGATATGGGCAAGATTTAGCTCTAAAAATACTTATCAAGGTGTTGTATTTATATTGTTGTTTTCTTTGTGTTTTAGTTTGTTTTCCATAGCTAAAAATTGGAACCCACGTAAACTTCCAGCAATAGGGAATCGATTGAGTAAATTGCAGTAAGAGCACAATAGAGAAAGAGTCACTGAGCTGTCCACAGCTCGAGGGAAATCAGTCAGATGAGTCCCGTGGGGGACGGGGATGGGGTGGGGGTGCAGAAACCAAGAGAAGGAACATTCTTCCAAAAGAAGCAAGTAGTTTGTGATGCTTCTGTAAGGCTAAGGAATATGACCTTGGACCAGAAATGACTCCCCAGTTTCGACAGGTGTTTACTGGAGGAAACTTGACTGGTCCTCCTTCTCCCACCTGCCTCCCTCCCCCTCTTCCTTCTCGGAGGACTCAGAAGTTCTAAAGCTGGTATATCCTTGTAACGCGTGGTGCTGGAAACCCATTTCTGTGACTCTGCAACTGCCTGGCTGCCAAAAAGTTTCTGCCATTTTGAAAGCCTCAGTTTGAATGAAAAGGTCAAATGTAAAATGCTAAACTTTTTTACCCTTTATTAAAGTATGTATTGTTAAGATGAATTTTTGTAGTATGCCAGAATACTTTTAAGTATTGTTGCCAATGTGTTTCTACCATTCTATATGAATTTTATTTGCTATTCCTGAGTTCTTGTGCTACACTGATGAACTAAAAACATAATTCTGTTCTTCTCTTGATTAATTTTGTTAATGATTTAACAAACAAGAAGATTGAAGGAATTCGTGAAGTTACCAGATATTTAAGTGGAATTCTCAGTTTTCTTATGAAATTGTTATAATTTTTGTTCATGCGGACTAATTTCTAACAATTTAAATTTTTAATCCTTATGACTTATTATTTTTTTTCAGAGCTCCACTATTACTTAGTGTTTATTTTCCTTTATCTCTCTAGATTAATGCTAACATATTTCTTCTTAGGCAAGCTGAGATTTTAGATAACTCTTAAGCTTTAAAAAAAACATTAGTAGGAGTTTAATTTAAATATAGTAAATATCTCCTTGATAATCCAAGTCGGACACTTAAAATTAGTAAGTGTCTGTGTCAGTCTTCTAAGTACCAGAAAGAGCTACACCCATCACCTGCTTTTACTGGCAAGAATAAAAAATGTGTGTACCAGTGGACACACAGGCTAAATTCTAGTTATGGTTTTTATAATTTTTTAAAATCAGGTCTTTATAAAACCAATCATGAAGTATTTATGAAATGAATAGTTGGAGTTCAGGTCTGTGTAGGAATTTGGAATTATATGAAAACTATATAGATGTGATCCTAACTTTATTTTTATTTTTTTATTTTTTTTTATTTTTTATTGGGGAACTGGGGGGATGGGAACAGTGCTGGGAATTGGGGGAAGGGGAACAGACAAGTTGCTGTCATTTTGTTCTTCAGTCTAGTTGTGGAGGATGTTGCTTCACTGGCCCAAGTTGGCACCATCATTGTGCTCTTCCTGGGCGAGGCACATCAGTCCCCGGCTTCTGGACGGCCGCTCACTGCGGCTGCTGGCCGCTCACGCTGGCTGCTGGCTACACACAGTAGCCCATGGCAACCCACTGCCACAGGGGCTGCAGCCTACGCCATCGCCGGCGACTCACGGCAGCCCAGCTCCAGGTTGAGCTGTTGTTCAGCATCTTAGCTGTGGAGGGCAGTGTCACTGGCCCTCATATGTGGGATCCGAACCGGGGCCCTCTGGTGTCCCAAGCCAGTTCTTAACCATCGCGCCACTCGGCCGGCCCCTGATCCTAACTTTAAAGAGTTCACATTCCCCACTCACCTGTAGTAATGAGGAAAAAAATAGCCAATTGACAATATGAAAATTATTGCACATAATTAAAATAACACTGGTCAGAAAGAAAACAGTTTTTATAGAACGTTATTCTTTTTTTATCTTCCTCTTTTTTTCTTTAATCCCCTGGATTATTGTCTGGCTTCAGTTCTCTAGGAGTTTATAAGGCCTCTTCTGAGGACATCAGAGGGCAAACTCAGGAGCCAATTTGGAACACAGGGCCTAGCAGAGGAGAGGCACCTGGCAGGTGTGGAAAGAGGGCTTGGTGATGACTGGTTTGCAGAAACATGGCCACGAGAAGTGGTTTTCTCCACATTCTAGTTAAAAGCTCTTTATTTTCTACTTTGAGGTTGCAGAAGTAGGTCCAAGCTGACCATTTCTGGGAGGTAAAATGACTCTTCTCAGTTGGCTCCAGGCAGCAGAGCAAGGCGAGGGCGCAGAACCGTTATCAGCTCGTTGTCAAGACAAGCCAAGTTCACATGAACATCTGGGCAAAGCCCAACCAGGCGTTCAGTGCTCACATTCAAGAGAGATTCAGTGGTAATCCTCAACATTTCTGTCTCGGGTCTCCCTGTCCTCAGCTGTCCTGAACTGGTTGACCTCATCTTGGGGTTCCTGGGTGGCACCCTGACCTCGCCTTTCTGACTTTTCTGCTACGTTGGGTCTTGTTTCCTCCATCCTGGTCTTCCTCTTTCTTGAATTACTCTTTCCTCTCTCTTAGTAGAACTAACCCCCAGTACCTTCTTGAGGGAGGTTGCGTGGAAAGTGATATTTTTCAGACCCCACATGTGTAAATACTTCCATTTGGCCTCAGACTGGATTAAAATTTGGGATAGGTTTAGAATTCAAAGTTGGGAATCTTTTTTTTAGAATTTTGAAAACGTGAAGCTGTTATCATCTTGCTCATAGCGTTGAGTGTTGCTACAGAGAGTCCAAGGGCATTCTTTCTCCTCATGTGTAGGTCACCTGTGGTTTTCTTCTTTAAAAGTCTGTTGAATTTTCTCTGTATAATTAACTGAAATTTCACAATGCCTTTTTGTGGGTTTCTTTTCTTCTATTCTCTTGGACACTCAGTGGGCTTATTTAATTGGACGACTCGTGTTCTTCAGTTCAGAGGGATGTTTTTGGGTTGCTTAATGAATGAATTCCTCCCTTCTGTGTTCTCAGTTCTTTCCTTCTGTAACTTCTCTTGTAAAATAGAACTTTGGGGCTACTTCCTCATCATTACCCTTTTTTTCGTTTTCTTCTTCTTTTTTGCTATTCTGGAGATTTCCTTGTCTGTCTAAGAGCATCTTTTTATTCCCTTTTTTGTCATCTTACTTTTATTCCATGAATGTAATAACCCATGAGTATATTGGTAATTGTATTTATTTGTATCTTTGTTCTTTCATGTTCTCTTCTCTTTGTGTTGTCTTTTATTGGAGTTACTTTTTCTGTTTGTCCTCCAGGTCAAAGGAACTGTGTTGTAGTAATTCTTGGTTGTCTGGTCACGATTAAAACTTGTGTACCAAAGACGGGTTGGAATCTCTTACTCCTTGGCTGACGCCGTTGTTGACTTTAAGCCTCACTGCAGAGTGAGGAAGGCGGGTGGCTTTTGGAGAACTTGTGATGCCCGGATCTTTATGGGGTTCATTCCTCGGGCTCAGCAAACCCTCCAGAAAGGCGTTTTCAGCCTCCTTCTTGTTCTGCCCATGCCGGAGGTTCCGTCCTGTAAACTGGGTGTAGATCTTCCCACACGTCAGGTTTCCTCGGCTCTATTGAGTCAGTTTCGCCATCTTCTCTACATTCTAGTTTCCTGTGTGTTGTCTTCTGTTTTCTTCCTTCACTGTAGTTTCAGTGGCGCGGCAGAAGGACAGACTGAGATGAGTGTGCTCAGTTTTTCATCTGAATCCTGAAAACATGCGCATTCCTTTTTTGAAGGCTTGTTTATAGAAACGTCAAATGCCTGTTATGATTTCATTTTCCCAGGAAATGGATTAATGTTTTAATTTAATGAAATATAAAAACTGGCATTTATTAAAGTTATTTTAAGCTAATGTATAGTTTCCAAATTGTACTTGGTTCAAAATGAAGTTATTGATTACCCATTATCCATAATATGAAGAGAATTAATTGTGGGACAGCTCCGTCTTCAGAGGATATTTTTAAGGGAAAAATAAAGTGTAACCATGCATGTGGACATATGTGACAGTTACATTTTAATGCTTAAAATTAATGGAAAGGCTATTTTTATTTCTTCTTCATGGCTTTCATTATTTTCATTGCAAGCACATTAAATAACAAAACTCCAAAATACATCTGGTTACATCTTAAAATCAAATCAGGGTTTTCATTTGTCCAACTTACTTTCTAGTTTTTGTCTCATTTTATCTTTACATAGTTATAGAAATGTAAACAGATGTTATATTTTATATTTTTACTTATCATTTTACCTTGTGAATTTTTCCCTTTTGCTGGTCTTTTTTTTTTTAACCTTGTGATATTTAGTTTTCTATTTAAGGACAGAAACGTGAATGTGCGTGGTTTCATTTCATTCACCCACTTTTCCACCATAGATTGTTGACTGTGCTAGACATTAGGGAGGCAGCTGTGAACACAACATAGTAGTTGCAGTGCAGTAAAATGCTTCCATCTCAGCTGTACCTTGAACTTCCCCAGCAGATTTTCAAAAGTTACAGTGCCCAGGCCACACCCTAATTGATTAAATCCAAATCTGTCCGAGGTTGCACACAATCATTCATATCTTCTAAAGTTCCTTGGGTGACTCCAATGTGCAGCCAAGCTCAGAATCACTGGTCTAGTAGAAAGGTCCAAAATTAAAATAAGCGCTGTTACATGCCCACTAGCATGGCTCACATTATAAAGACGGACAGGGCCACGTGTTGACAGGGCTGTTTAGCAACTGTAACTCCTATGTATACACAGCTGGGAGAAATCGAGAAATAAAACAATCAAGCTGTAAAAAGCTTAGCTGAATTTATTTACATTGTGATGAATGTCATTTAAAAATAAATTAATGATTTGAGAATCTGTGGCAAATTGTCCTTTCTAAAACTGCGCACAGCAACCTTTTCAGTCCCGTATGCTCTACCATCTTGCCACTGACCATCAAGAGGTATTGGGTTGTTGGGAAAGTCATGACGCATTTTTGCAATGAAAAACAGAGAAAATACGTCATGACTTTTCCGACAACCCAATAGAATCTGTTTTCCCTCCCCCTTGAACCTGGGTGAGCTTGCAACTACTTGGCCAATAAAGGACCAAGGAAATGATGCGTCTGCCTGGGCTGGGTCATACAAAGTACACAGCTTCATCCTGATGTTCTCGAGACACTCCTCCTTGAAGCCCAGCCTCTATGCTGTGAGGAAGTCCACAGCCCTCCATGTTAGGCTTGTGGCTGAGACCCCAGCTGAGCTGTCAGCCAACAGCCAGCATCATCATTCACTGTGTGTGTGAACATGCAGGAGTGAACTTCAGGTGAATCCAGCTCCTACCGTCAGGTCTTCCAGCTGAGGCCCCAACTCACTGTGGAGCAGGACAAGCCATCCTCATGGTGCCCTGTATGAATTACTAACCCACAGAGCCCATGGCCCAATAAATGGTGGGGTTTTTATACCACTGAACTTTGTGGTAACTTGTTACACAGTTATAGTCACTTGAACAGAGTATATAAAGAGGAATCTGACCCAGCTTGGCAGATTGGAAAAGTCTTTCCTAAGAAAGTAAAACTGAAGCCAAACATGCAAAATGGATCATAAACCAAAATGTAAAAGCTAAAACTAAACGTCCAGGAAAAAAACATAAAAGAGTATCTTTGCGACCTTGGAGTGAGCAACAATTTCTTAGATGGGATCTGAAAAAGCAGAACCCATAAAAGACAAAAATGGATGAAGTAGATATAACATTAAAATTTAAAACATATGCTCTGTTAGAACTGTTAAAATGAAAAGTCATGCCACAGTCTGGGAGAAAATATTTGTCATACATACATCTGACAAAGGACTTATACCCAGAATATATCAAGAATTCTTGCAACTTAATAATAAAAAGACAACCTGATGTTTTTTTAAAGTGGAGGGGTCAGAAGATTTGAAGAGATAATTCACCAGAGAAGATACACAGATCCAAATAAGCACACGAGAAGATATTTAATATCATTTGTCAGCAGAGAAACGCAGTTTAAAGCCACAATGAAACACTACTACAGACCCACTAGAATGGCTAACATTGGAAAGACGGACAGTGCCAAGTGTTGACAAGGCTGTGGGGCAACTATGACTCCGGTGTATAAACAGCTGGGAGAAATCAAGAAGTGAAACAATTACGGTGTAAAAAGCTTAGCTAAATTTAATTCTTTTATTTTAAGCTTATGTCTTGAATAATCAGCTTATTTCTTAAATGATTTCATGTCATGTTGTCGAATTGATATAATTGAGTTGAACATCACGTATTCTTTTTTCTTCTTTTTCAGTTAAAAGAGATGTTTCCAGGCTTTCGATTATCGCTTCCACCAAAACGCTGGTTTAAAGATAATTACAATACCGACTTTTTAGAAGATAGACAATTAGGATTGCAAGCGTTTCTTCAAAATTTAGTAGCTCACAAGGACATTGCTCATTGGTATGTAATGAATTGAAATAAAAGGTTATGAATGCATTTTAACAATTCGTTTAAACCAAAGAATAAATCTAGGACCATAGTTATTCAAGGTGAAGAAAAACATAGGATAGGAGTATAATTACTTGTCCTCTCTAACAAAGCATGGCATGGAATTTTCTTGCTTTTTTTCAGTAAGGACTTTATTCGGCGTTTGATTTGTATTAACACTTTTAAAAAGTCAGCAATGTTAAAAATTCAGTGAATCATATTCAAACCACTGAATCCACTGTAAACTTGATTTTAGTATTTAATATTTTAGCAATCATTTAACAAAGTAGCCCTCGTATAGATTTTTGGGTAGTATGACACTGTATAATGTTGAAGGTAATATTCTTTATATATTTTTTTAAGTAATGCAAAAATATGAAAATTGTGAAGTTGGGTTAATTTATATAGAGGGTAAAGTGAACATACCAAAAACCATTAAAAAGAGAGAAGAGATATCTATGGGGTTTTGTTTCTGAATATATATATATACAGGAAAATTGCTTATTAGTACCAGCTGACTATCTAATTTTGACATTTACATTATCATATACATTAGAATTATTGTGAAAAAGCAGAAAGCACTTGCAAGGCAGCTGTGAATATTGTATAGGTGCCTATGTCTGAAACTGCCTTGAGCAGCGTTTTTCACAATAGGATGGAGAACGGGAAAACCATCCTGTCTCTGTTTCTACCCTTCGTTCACCTGTGTCACACTGTGCATGCACATCTCGCTGCTCGTGTGTGCCGCCTAAACCTGACGGCTACGTGACACCTCTGCCCACCAGCCTCGTTTCCCCGTGAGAGGAACCACGGGCCCTCAAGCCACGTTCCTCCCTGCCACTGCCTCTTTGACAGCCCCTTGGAAATTCTCCAGTGCCTTCAAACCTGAAACAGACCTGACAGCTTGTTCTCTAGCTCCCCCACCCCCGCCCGTATGCAGCAGCATCTGCCCAGAACCTGAGAGCCGTCCTTGATGCCGCCTTCCCACCCGTATCCCTCCCTTTGTGTTTGAATTCCCCTCAAGTCTGTCTGCTTCTCTCCAGTCCTGACGCCCCTGCCCTAGTCGAAGCCATTGCCTCTCCTAATTCCTGCAGAGCGCTCCTGGTGGTCCGCCTGGTCCGCTCTCACTGCTGGGGCCACTGGAGCCTCAGGGGCCTTTCGTGACGCCGCTCAGGCCACTCTGGTCCCTGCCTGCCCGCCCGTCTTTGTGACTTCACCTTCTGATATTCCTCCCACCCCTATTCTCTGTGCATCTGCTATAGTGGTCTTTTACTTTCCCAGCGTCCCCTCGGTCCTCTGTTCCTGGAAGGCAGCGTCTCCCTCAACTATCCCACCCAGGCCCAGATAGCCCGTCCATCCCCTTCAGATCGCAGACACACCCTCACTTCCCTAGGTGACTTTTCCTGACCACCTGCAGGAGCTTCGTGCCAACGGCAGGACCGTGGCTCTGTCCCTCTGGCTAGAGGAGGCATAGATGGGTACTAAGCTGGATTTCAAACACAACACTGGTCTTTGAAGTACTGCACTAGCTCAAAAGGAATAAAACTTGAGCGAAGGGACACAGGTGGGCTAAAAGCAACTAGGTGAGAAATAACCAAGGTCTAAACTAGGCGTAAAGTTTCAGATAAAGAGCACATTTAGCTATTAAATGACTGGTCTTGTAAAAAAATTGTGAAATGTAAACAGATACATTCCTCTGAAAGAAAAAGAGTAAATAGAAGGTGAAGTTTCACTGGATGAAACAGTTCTGTAACAAGTTTGAAAACACAGTAAAACTTTTAAAGAAAAAATTTTTAAGAGAATCAAAGAAAGTGTTTAAGTTATAGGACACATTTACTCTGATAATATAAACAGTGCTAAAGGATGCCACCTGTGGTCTCCTTATCTTCAGGCCTGTCAGGTCAACTCCTGATCCTAATTATGTGACGATTTTCCCAGACGCACCGAAATGGTCCTCTGGGTAATACGTAAGGGGAACAGAAAGACAGAGAGTATTTCCTTACCTTTAACTCCAGATTGTTGGATGTTCTCCTAGTCAGATACTTGGCTCTCCTGTCCGGATGGTTTTCTTGCCTTCATTATCATGATCAAATGGAAGCAGAGTATTAAAGGCCGAGTGCAGAAGAGAGCTGAGGGACCTATAGGGATCCTATCTGCACAATTAAAAAAAAAAAGTAAGATTTCGTTAAAAAATTGACTTCTATTTAATCCATAGACCATTTAATAATGTAGACCCTTTGGTATTTATATCTGATTTGAATTAACTTGATTAATTTATAAATCATCCACTGATAATAATACATAGGATAACCATGGCACTCATAGGCAGTTAAGTATTTATGAAATCTAAGGTTCTTTAGTCAGTGATTCTCAAGCAGAGGTAAGGGCCTCCTTTTCTGGGGGGGGAAAGGTATGAGAATCTCTGAGAGAGAAATTGTTTTCTCAAACGCTGCTATCCCAGAAATTCTCGCATGCCCCACTCCTGGGATGGAACTAGCGCTTGAGAGCATTGACTGACTGCCTTCCTCTCCCAATGAGTCCTGTTCAAACAGAAGAAATAATAAAGTGAACCGCTGAAGAACTGTTTTGTCCATCAAAGTCGTAAAGCCAGTTTTAAGTTTCATTCTTACGTTACAGATTAAAGAGACATTAGGGTCTGGAATATAACCTCAGAGCTACATTGAGAAAATAACCGAGGGAGTCCATTGGATTCCATTTGAGTAGAGCTCTAGTGAGCCGTTGATCGTAAGGATTTTTAGGGAAGAAGAATGAAATACAAAAGCCGTTCCAAAAAAAAGATCCCCATAGTTGGCTATATTGTCAACATCACTGTTGATCTTGGGCTCACTTTCTGCTATAAACCAAAGGTGTAAAAAGAGACACATAAATTCCCTTTCCCACTTTTTCTTTCCCAGCGGCAGCGTTCCAGTAGAGTAATTTGTGAACATAAAAACGTTTCGAAAGAATAAGGGAATCTGGGCACATACCTATAAGAAAATAATGTCTCATGTTGGGGTGTCATACACAAAGTCCGAAAAAACACCCTTCCCTACGCTTCTTAGGACTTTAAAGTCCGAAGAGCCATTATCTTGGGGTTTCATCCAGACTTTTAAACTCTCAATCTCAAGGCTAACTTATTTCCCGTGAGTCATTTTTGCCTAGTAGCTGGTTCTCTGATATAAATAATGGGTGGCTGGAAAGTATAATATCTAAACGAAAAGGACGTAGCGTGCCCCTGTTCTTCTTGTGGTAGTAGGCCAGCTGCAGTGTTCCAGAGGCTTTGACTGAAGACAGAAACTCGCAGGTGAATGTGGTCAGAGCGAAGTGGCCGGCACACCCAGAGAATCCACATGATCCGAAATATAAGAGACAGGAATTCAAGGGTAGAAAGGCCCATAATTGCACCCGGAAGAGAGTTAAGAGCTAGCTCTGCCACTTCCGCTGTGCTGCCTTGGGCCACACATCTTACCCTCTGAGCTTTGGTGTCTTTTGTAAAAGGGTAAAATAATGCCTGTCCTCATCTCACATGATTGTTGTGAAAATGAAACAGAATAGCATATGTGAAAGTCCCAGGTCCTTTGAAAATGTCAGAAATGGTAACGATGTGAGGTGATGGATATGTTAATTCGCTTGATTGTAGTTCCTGTTTCACAGCGCATGCGTATATCAAATCAAATGGTACATTTTAAGCGTACACAATTTTTAATTGTCCATTATACCCCAATAAAGCTGGGGCGGAAATGTCAGCCTCATAAATGCAGAGACCATGTAGGCTTTGACATGAAAAGAAAAAAAAGGAAAGAAAATGTTGGTGTATTAGTATTGCTTCTTGGAGGCATAAAGTTACAGAAAATACAACATTCCCGACATATTTAGGATTATCGTGTGAAAGAGGGCTTTGATTTACCCAAACGATCCCAGAAAGCAGAACAAAGACTCATGAACAAAAGCTGCAGGGAGAAAAGTCCCAGCTGAGTGAAGGAAGTAACTTCATAATTTTCAGTTGTTCAAACATAGGATGGTTTATTCTAAGAGGTGGAAATTCCCATTTTTGAAATGTGTAGATGTTCTGGTGGCTGCACATGTAAGAGGAATAAAAGCATGCCTCCTGTGGATGGTTCTGCCACCTCTAAGACCTTTCCATCTCTGTTATTCCGTGATTAAAAATACTCGAGTTTTAGGTTTCCTTCAGTGTATCCCCTATTACCCAAGTTGTCAAGATTATATAGCCCAGAAATTGGCTCCTCTTTGGGTCCTTCTGGATTTCCTTCTTAACACCACTTCTCTATATTCATATTGTTTTTCTTTTGGAAAGATTTCACTAAAAAGCCCATTTTTCTCTTCATGACCATCCCTTGTCATCATCAGCCTATCTGGCCCATCCTGAACCCCCAACCCCATTTCAGCATGGGTTGGCATCTCCTTTCTGTGGCGCATTAAGAAATCATATTGCTGCCCTTTTACACCTAAAAAAATTTAAGCCTTCACCTTTATGTTTTAACATGCACATGGAGTTGTCTCTCTGTCCCAAATTGCTTTTAGAGAATGGAGTATTTTGGTAACAAAGGAGGTCAATTTTCCACCTTCTTAACCTATTTCTGATCATTGCAAAGTATAAGCCTAACAATACCATGTTATTTCATTATTTTGAAATTTACGGTAATTCAGAAATGGGATGCTAAGAATGTTTTCTCCTGAATTCTCTAGGGAAAATACTTAACTAAATTAATATAAGAAACATAATCGCAAGAAAAATCTTTAACTGGTTTCTGAGTAAACACTCCTCAGTGACTTTAGTAGCCCCTCCTAAAAAGGAAACAAGTATAAGGTAGAAATAGTATTTCCTCGTAACAAGATAATGGCTTTTTTAGACTAGTTCAAAATAATATTTCTTCGAAAGCGATAAAATGTCTATTCACCACCATTTAGGTCTGTGCCATTATCCTGAATTATGTTTTATGTCCTGTAGTTTTTATGTAACATAAATTCACCATCTCTGTTTTGCAGTTCATAAGATCTTAGAAAATATTGGGTTGTCGGAAAAGTCATGACTTATTTTTTCTGTTTTTTGTTGCAAAAATGTGTCATGACTTTTCTGACAACCCAGTAGTTTCAAATCTTTGTATCTTCTATACATTTTATGTTTATATTTGGTTACTTGTATGAAGCCATGTAAACCAACTTGTTTATTTTGGTATATCAGCAACCACCTTGCTTAAAACACTGTGTAGTTTCAAAGTACCTTTTGCCTTTTGCTATCTTTTGTAAACTTATTTGTACCGCTGCTAATTTTTTTTTTTTCCCTTTGAAAAGCCTGGCAGTGAGAGAATTTCTTTGTCTGGACGATCCACCAGGTCCATTTGATAGCTTAGAAGAAAGCAGGGTGAGTGCTGTATTGTATATCACATGAAAAGAGGAACAAATAATTCAGTACAATAACTACATTGTTCCTTGAAAGGAATAGCAAACAGCAAAATATTATCATTTCAACCATGCGAGTTTTGCACAGAAAGCTTTTAATACTTGAGTCAAAAGTTTCTTTCAATGAAATACAGGAACCTAGTTCAGTGAAAAAGTAAAAATTCATGCATGCCATTATAGTCAGAGGTCCAAAATTAAGTCCTGCGTTTTGTTCTCTTTATTTTTACTGTTTCCAAAAAAAAACAAAAGAAAAGAAAATTATTTGGAAATTTTGGAAATTTATTTTACTACATTTAAAAGTATTATTCGTATGTTGCATTTTCTTCCACCTAAGTGTCAAAGTCAAGAACCTACAGTTAAAATCAAATTTAAAACTTACTTTCAGAGGTAAAAGTTATTATCTTGTTATCAATTCAGCTCAAGTCTGAGGCTACTCAAATTACAGTAATTGACGTGTTAAAGTGGCCTATTTCTTGAAGCAATTGGCTAGATTCACAAAACAGATTTGGTAATAATAGATTAGCTAGGATTTTTTTGTAAGTTTTTTCCCCAAATGCTTAATGGTGTTTAAATGGAACAGATTTAATTGGTAGGTTTGTAATGTTTTCAATTAAACTGAGTCACTTCTTTGTATCAGAGTGAATGCCATAGCTTTTTTCAAAACAGCTTTATGGAAGTAAAATTTTCATCCATAAAATTTGTTGTTTGCTATTCCATTGTAAATGTACAATTTAATAATTTTTAGCGAATGTGCCACCATCGCCTCAAAAGAAGTTCCTGCCGGCCATTGGCCATCAGTGTGCTCCCAGCCCCGGACGAGTACTGGTCTGCTTTCAGGTTCTACAGATCGGCCTTTTCTGAATTGTCCTATAAATGGAATCATACAGCGTATATACATGTATCTGTGTGTGGTTAAAATCAGTATTCAGTTACATACTCTTGTGTATACACAGTATGCGTAACAGACTTTGCATACCTGAAAATCGCGATCTTTGCCTCTAGTGTCTGTCACTGAGCACACTGTTTCTGAAGGTCACCCATTTCATAGCTCTGTCGATTGTCGACACTGTTTATTGCTGAACGGTTCCCAGTGTGCGCCTGGCATGCTTCATGTGCACTCTCACCAGTCCAGAGACATTCACGTCGTTCCCAGTTTTGTGCTTCTAGAAATGATGCTGTAATGAGCCATCTCGTGGAAGGCTTTGTGTGGACTTACGTTTTCATCTCTCGGGTTGACCCCCAGGAGTGGACTATTTGGTTTTGTGGCAGATTACCTTTAACTGTTTTGAGGAACTTACAAATGTTTTCTGACATGGCTATACCATTTCGCATTCCCACCAATAGTGTATGAAAATTCCAGTTTCCTCCCTGTCCTCACAAACGTTTTTTCTTCTAGGCTTTAAAAATTAAGGAGATTTTACATTTAAAATTGACCTCCCAGCTTCTCTTAAAAGATGGGTAGAGCTGGCATCTCTGATTCTCCTTCCCCGAGGCTGCAGGCGGCTCAGATGAGCTCAGTCTGCCCTTCTCAACAGTCAGGGGTCCCCCACCCCCACCCTCCACCCCTCCCCCAGGGCTTGGCTTGCCGCAGTCGTGTGCAGGGGAAGCGAAGGCTGCAGACTGAGCCGTGAGAGCTGGTCATGCCAGTGGATGACCACGAACAGCCCTGATGTGACAGCATCATAGTGTCTGTCTTTGGGGCGACAGCTGTTCCCGTGGCTGTGCACTGGTATTTCATTACAGTTTTAACTGGGACTTCCCTATGATTTTTTTTGTGTTGATCACTTTTCCATGGGCATTTTAGCCATTCATATGTTTTCTCTGATGAATTGTTGATTTAAGCCGTTTGCCCATTTTTTTAGTTGGGCTGTTCGTCTTACTGAGTTGTAAGAGTTCTTTATTTTGGATATATGATTCATAAATATTTTCTCCCAGTCTACATGTGCCTTTTCATCTTCATGGTCTTTTGAAGTGCTAATGTTTTTTATTTTGATGAAGTTCATTTTCTCACTGTTTTATGGCTTCTACTTCTGGTGTTGTATCATAAGACCTCTTTGCCTATTACAAGGGCACAAAGGTTTGCTCCTACATTTTTTGCTACAAGTTTTGTAGTTTTAGCTCCCACATTTAGATCTCTGATCCATCCTGAGCTAGTTTTTCTTGTAAGATGTGAGGTGAGAGTCTTTAAGTTCCTATGGATGTCTAACAGTGTCAGGTCTCGCTCTGTATTGTCTGACATATCTGCCTTGTATGTCTGCCATTTTGCAGTTTGTTTTCTATCCGTCACATCTGTTTCAGTCTTCTTCCTCCTTAACTGCCAACTATCATGTGAAATAAATATGCTTAGTATCCCATTTTGATTCTTCTTTAGAAATTGTCACTTAGTTATTTTTTTACTGGTTGCTCTAGGTGTCAAACTGTGCATATTAACACAGTCTACTTCAAAATAATACTTAATTCCAGTGAATTATACGCTGGGCTCCAATATTACCCCTTTCCCCTCTCCCTCCTCGGCATTGTTATTGCTCTCTATTTTGCATCCATATATGTTGTAAACATAACAACAAAATATAGTAACTATTTCTGTATACAATCTTTTGGCTTTCAAAGAACTTAAGAGAAGAAATGAGAAAAAACATTTTTACATGCTTTTATATTTATCCGTATACTGACTATTTCCAGTCCTCCCCATTCCTTCCTTCGGATTGGTATTATCGTCTGGTGCCACGTCCTCTCGGCTGCTTCCTTTTCATTGATTTATCTTACATGTCGTATCCTAGGTGAAATCTCTCATTAAGTTGTAGATGCTTTTGGATTTACTATTTACTATTTCTATTTACTATTATTGAGCCAATTCAAATGGAATGAATAGCCATGGTTTTTTGGGGTTTTTTTTAAGTATAATCATTCAGGACTGGGCACAAATAGACTAGAGAGAATAGAAATAAAACCATGGTTGTTAGTCGCTTTTTTCCATTCTACGCTCCATCCCATATTCACTTTAGACACACTGGTGGTAGGCAGAGGTTAAGAGAGCCGAGACAGCAGATGCCTAAAACGGTGGAGAACACATTGTTTGGGCTGCAGCCATATTATCTTGATCATCCGTGTTCCTTGAGTCTTCGGTCATGCTCTTAAGAAAGGTGCTGCACATGTAGTTAATTTTATTCTCTTTCTGCACATGGCTTTGTTTGTTTTGAAGGCATTCTGTGAGACTTTAGAAGAGACAAACTACCGTTTTCAGAAAGAACTACTTGAAAAACAAAAGGAGGTGGAGTCACTGAAGAAGCTGCTGGATGAAAAGCAAGTCCGCATAGACACGCTGGAGAGCAGGATCAGGTGTGTGTGGCACCGGCCTTTTCAGGCCGAGGCAGCTTGTACTGTGCTGGGCTAACTGCACTTCGTATGTTAGAATGGTTTAGCGAATTTCTGATTCCCAAAGTCACAGATTGTCGGTGCACTTCTTTGTAGATTGAGAAAATGGTCTTGATTATTTATTTAGGAGACTGAGCATTTGAAGGATAGGAAACATGGGGAAAAGAAGCATCTAGCTGTTCAACAAGATAAACGTTATTCATTTTAACCTATTTAAATGGTGTCTCTGTCTCTAGATATGTATGCCAAATTGTCACATATGAAAGTTCTAGTTTGACTTCTCATCAGCATATACTGAATTGATGCTAAAATCATTTTAAATTAATCGTAAGTGCTAATGTTTCTATTGACTCCCAGTGTCAGCAATTTATTAGCCCTAGGACTACATTAAGATGTGATGGCGGAAGACGCTAAGGCTGCATGTAGTCACAGTAATAAATATATACACATTTTATTCATGAAGATATTTAACAGGAAAATGACTTGTTGCTGTGATTTACTTTTAGAGCATTGTGTTTAGAACCTGAAGACTCACTGCACTTGTCAGGGACACAAGAGGAACAGATCCTAAAGGTGGAGTCCTCTGCACTTGAACTTGACCAGGAAGTCCTGGATGCAGAATCTAGGTATATATAATGTTTGGTTTATTACAGCCTATTCACCTGAATAATTGGAGGGCAATTGTTATAATACTCTACAGAGTATTTTTATGAACGGCTGAGCAAACAGGACTACAGATATTCTAGGCTGTCCTGAAAGCGAGCCTCTGGCACCCAGGCTGTACGTTTTCTTATTTATTTTGAAACTATGTCTGAATTAACTGGGCTGTAACTCAGTTAATTAATTTTGTCAATCTTGACAAATTACTTTCATCTCCCACCGTGTCACTCTTTTTCCATTCAAAATGTGGGATACTATAATAGCAAACCTCCTGCCTACAAATAGAAATGATGAAAAATGGCATTTTTGAAAGCACATAGAATTTTTATTGCGTATAAATCCAAGTTTTAATTATTAATACATTAGTGGTAATGGTTAAGCTATAATTATGAGAACAAATTTTATGTTGGTAAAGGGAATTACAAACTAGATTTTTATTGATAAATGGGAGTTGGGAGAGCTGAAAGATCTAAAAATATATCCCCAAAAGCGCCATCGAGCTGTGACAAGTTGAAAATAGTGAATTTCTGTTTGAATATTTAAATAGTTTTTTATTAAATATTTAAATATACTTTCCACGAGGTAAAAGATTTTTTTAAAGGTGATAGCACACATCCATTCTTAACACTGACACGTTTCCCTTTTTTTGCAGAGCTAACAACAAGTCATGTTTTAGCGAACCTGAAAATTCGGTATCAGAGATAGAAGTAGCAGAAGTGGCATATAGTGCTGACGAAGACTATGCATCATAAGCAGTTCCTCCATTTCCACGTTTCAGCTCGTTTAGAGTAGAGTGCAAATATTTAAAAAGAAAAAAAAAACACTGAAGCATTTTCAGAAAACAGCAAGAATGCACATGTATAAAGTTTACATAAAGAAAAGTTTTTTTAAGTTATTGGGATAGGAAATATATTCACTGCTGCTTTAAATTGTCTTTTATTCAAGCTTCGTATTTAATACTGTGCATAAATTATTTTGGTGTTTTGCCAATATATTGCTCCAAACCAATGTGTGTTTAAAGTACCAGTTATCTTAGTCAAGTGGAAATTAATTGCATGTTACTATCTGGTTGATATATACTTCTTCGTATCTCTCGACATGATATATTTTCACTAATGGTTTAAATCAGTGGTAAAGATGAATTGAGTTTTAAATATTGCCATGTCTACCATCTCTAAATAAAAATTGCTTATTTGGAATGTTCCTAAAAGAAGAAAACTGTCTAATACCAAAGGAAAATGATTTGAAAGAACTGTAATAACATAGCTAAACGATAAAATAGCCTTGATGTTAAATGTTAATTCATTAATATCAAAATATTATAAGTATCCCAGTCTATTTTGTTTTCCCCATAATCTTTATCTTAAATCTCTACCTGTAGAATCAGTGAGTTTGCCTTTTTTCAGAACACTACCTCTTTTTGCTAATCAAGGCATACTCTTGAAAATAGATTATAGATTCTAAGCAAATTGGGAGTTATACAAATAAAAATAAAAAGCCATATATACTGCAAAGTCCCTAACTATGTTGACTCCTGGCATTGCATTTTTATGTCTGTATATGTAAATATGTTACTATAATGTATTCTGGCTGATTTTCTTTTTAATATATTTAGCCAAGTGATGCACTTTATGGTAATTAAACTTTTTTGTGCCAAGTTTAATTGGTGAATTTCTTCAGTAAGTAGAGTTGGGAAAAGGAATTGTGTAATGCCACCACTATTTCACTTTTTACGGAAGTCTCCTAGGGTCTGTGAGTCAGCTTTATGAAGAAGTGTTTCCTTCAGCTTTGCGCAGAGTTGTTGAAAGTGCCTTGTTTCATTTTTATAGTAGGAAGTTTTGCATATTTCTGTTAATAAACGTTTGAATCATGTTAGCATTTTGGAATCACAATTGGTATCTTGAACACCGTGTACTTTCCAAAAACTGAGGGAAGCTTGCTGGGGAAATAGAATAACAAGCTCTGTTTTCTTTCTTCACCATTGAAAAGTTTGTCAGTAACTTGATGTACGTATTAAGACGTGGTTATTTAAAATTCTGATGTAGATTAACAGATCCAACGCTTATTGTTAACCTGTGATCTAAAAGGGAGGCTGCTTTGTACCAAAGTTTCAGAAATTTGAAAAGTCTGCATCAAAATGCACAAGCATGCTCTTAGAATATTTTACACAAAGGGTATCAGAAACGTGTTCACTCTGCTGGGAGACAGAGAGAATATAACAAACTGGTCTGCCATTTATTTCAAAATATTCCTAGGCTTTAAAAAGGTTTAAAAAGAACAATCATTTAAATTAATACCATTTTTAGTGTTATAAAACAAGAGAATCTGTGCTAAATTCCAGGTATTACAGTGCGACGTGTCTGTTTTAAAGTGAACCATACACTTTCAAACTCTGCCCTTTCAGAAGATTGTATTGAAAGTTTTGGATGGGTGAAGAAAAACTTGTAAATTAGGTAAACCACTATTATTTATATTAGAATTTACTTTTTTACTTTTATAATGCATTTTACTCCCAGTATTGTATTCATGTAATAAATTATTTTTTCAGTACAACAGTCACTGTGTTGTTCAGATGTTGAATACCGTTTTCCCTGTCCAGATTCTACGTTCTGTACGTAATCCCTTAGGATTATTATAAATGTAGTTACAGCAGTTACAACCGCTGCATTTCACAGATGTGGAATGAGTTGGTGTGTTTACACTTTATATTACTGATCATTCTAAGTCTTGGACAATAGGTGCAATGCACTTCATATGTAACCAATATTAATTAAAAAAATGAATGTAAGTGAAACAGAAAACTTCTGTGGGTAATCTTTTAACCTTTTAAAAATTAAGTTTACGTGTAGGTAGTCCAGCCATAAAACTTAGCCTTTTAAAATGTGTTTTATCTGTCTCCTATACTGCCATTCGCCATTTAGAGCACATTTAGTTAGGAAACGTGTTCCTGAGATAAATCATCTATGTAGGCTACTTCAGCTGTCTGATAGTAAGTACAAGGAAACAGTGGCCTTAGGTCTAAGAATAATTTGTCTGGTTTTGAAATGGATTTTGTCATTTATAGGGATTGAGGAGTTTGGGGACTATGTTACAAGTTTGTATTCCCAATTAGGAAATAGAAGCATCTGAACTTTATCCTCTGAGAGGTTTTCAAAGAGCTGCACAGTCGATCCACATTTTGGCTCTTCATAGAATTCCCTTTCCCACATCACGCACTTTCCTTGTATGCTGTTGGCTCCTATTAGCAAAAACACTCATCAAAATTTGTATTTTCAATACATGTGCTCTTAAGGCTGATGGCCACTATGTCACATGGCGGACCCTCACCAAGGACTTACAGAAGAAAATTCTCTTAGGTCTCAGTTCTAGAGAAACCCGTGCTTCTCCTAAACAATTGATTTTATTTTATTTTATTTTTTTACTCTTAAGAACTCTATTGCTATCTTTCTCTTTGTTTGTTTGGTTTTTTGTTTTTCTTTTGGGGGGTGCAGTTCTAAGCCAAATAAATTGTGGTTGACCTATATAGCTTCCTTATGAGTTACTGTTTGTGTAGTAAACATGACGTCATTTTTCTGATTGTCTCTTAACTCCAATTTTCTTCCCTATTTAAGTTCTTCTATTAGGTGAAGTCTCAGATTTGAGTATTTTAGACTACATGAGGTGGGAACTTGTCATAGCCTGTACAACACTGCAGTGTAAGAGATGCCATTAATTACAGAAAGCTGAATTATTCTTCCCTTTCAAAGGTGCCTTTGAGATCAGTGCATGTGGAGTGCAAACTTAGAAACGCTGGCTAGTGGGAAGCTGTGGGTACGCTCTTGGCTGGAGCACACTATTGATAAACTCAGATCCTGATTTTTAACCATAGCCTCAAATTAGAACAGACCCCACTTGCCACTTTATCATTGACAGAAAAGTAGAGCAGTGTCATTATCTCCACACAAAACAAACAACAATAAAAGACAATACAGCCAATGTATATACAGCAGATGAAAAGTAGTATTTTATTGTAATAGATACAGATGAGAATAGGTATGACCTTTAAGTACCTTAAACCTAAGGTAACGCTTAGCAACCTACCTAATTGCAATCAGAGGTATTGGTGTTAGATGGTGGCTAGAGTGTGAAATGGAAAGCCCACCTTGGGGTGACTAAGCCCACAACAGGGGGACCGGCTAGAATTAGCTCATCCGCCAGTCCAGCCTTCCAGTTCCCTGCACGGCAAACCTCATTCATTGACTAACCCACAGATATTTGCAACCCTCTTCTTTGCCCCCCAAAACAGGAATTGGATAAACTAAATACAGTCGGCCCTTGAACAACGTGGGGATTAGGTGCACTGACTGCCACTCCGTGGAAAACCCTCTTACAGCTTTTGACTCTCCAGCCCGCCCTTTGCACCAGCAGATTCAAACAACGGATTATCAAGAGCATTTGCACATTCCCAACTGCAGATTCGCAACCTTCTGATGGAAAATACGTACTATTTTCCATCGGTGGCTGGTTGAATCTGCAGATGGGAAACCCAGGGTAGGAAGAGCCGACTGTTGATCAAAGTCCTCCCGTAAGTGCACCCTCACAGTTCAAACCCATGTTGTTCAAGGGTCAACTGCACTCGTTTTCTCCGCTCCTCGCAGCCAGTCTGGAAGCTCTGGGAACCAAATGCTTTCCCTGCAGGAAGGCAGGCGCCCTGCCTGCACCCTCTCTGGTCATGGCCTGGGGGCATCTGTGACAGCCATCTGGCAAATATGAGAGGCGGTGAGCGGGAGAGCAGCACAGACTCCGGCCTCTTGTTAAACCTTGTAAATTGTAGTGTTTTATTCGTTGTACCAAGACAAAAACTATCTGAAATTTGGGTGGTAGATTGTAAGCTTGAGGAGGCGGGGGTTGCGCGCGGGGGGAAGGCTTTTCTTCCTGTGATATTGTGTAGTTTGTTAGCAAAGGGAAAAAAATTCCGGGAGAAAATTGTCTTGTTTGAAAGCTGAAGGGGACAGAAGCATCTGTGAGGCTTAGTTCTGAGGCTCCAGTTCTGGCAAACCAAATAGGAAGAGAGCGAATAACTGAGTGTTCTATGTGTATGTATTAGTCTTCTCTGGCTGTTATAACAAAACATAGCACAGACCTGGGGGCTTAAACAACACAGATCAAGGTGTCTGGGGAGGGCTTTCCCCTTGGGTGCAGACAGCTGCCCACCAGCTTGTGTGTGTGTGTGTGTGTGTGTGTGTGTGCGCGCGCGCACTGAGGCAAGCTCTAGGGACACCAGTCCTCTAGGATGAGGGCCCCACCCTTTATGACCTCACTTACCCTTAAGTACTCCCTCAGCGGCCCCATTTTCAAACACAGCCCAATACATTTCCAAGTCCACTGGGGGTTGTATGAATGTTGGGGGGTGGGGGGGGGCACAAACATTCAGTCTGTAACTATAGGATGGAGGGAACTTCATTAAATGTTTGCAAAGATAGTTCTCGGTCCGAGAGATGAGAGCGGATGGCCTGCTCTTTCCTTTGTTCGTTCCACAAACATTGAGCACCTACTGTGTGTCGTCCTGGGTATAAACGTCACTGAGAGGCGCGCAACCCCTTCAAGGCGTGCAGGGTGACGAGGTTTATACGCAGGCGGGTGAGGCGGGTGTGGCCGCTGCAGCGTCGTGGTTAGAGGAGTTCGCGATGAACTGTGGACACCGGAGGGTCGGAAGGGAGGGCGGCGGGTGGCCAGAAGCAGAAGTGCAGTGCAGCAGCTGCTCCTTAAAAGTGGGGTGCAAGGGGCCGGCCGAGTTGTGCGATGGTTAAGAGCTGGCTTGGGACGCCAAAGGCCCCGGTTCGGATCCCACATATGAGGGCCAGTGACACTGCCCTCTACAGCTAAGATGCTGAACAACAGCTCAACCTGGAGCTGGGCTGCCTTGAGTCCCCAGCGACGGTGTAGGCTGCAGCCCCTGCTGCAGTGGGTTGCCATGGGCTACCGTGTGTAGCCAGCAGCCAGCGTGAGTGGCCAGCAGCTGCAGTGAGCGGCCGTCCAGAAGCCTGCGACTGATCTGCCTCTCCCGGGAAGAGCGCAATGATGGTGCCAACTTGGGCCAGTGAAGCAACGTCCTCCACAACTAGACTGAAGAACAAAACGACAGCAACTTGTCTGTTCCCCTTCCCCCAATCCCCCAGCACTGTTCCCATCCCCCCAACTCCCCAATAAAAATCTTTAAAAAAAAAAAAAAGTGGGATGGAAGGGCGTGCTGAGCAGGCCACTCAGCTCGGGCTTGCGCGCGAGGGGCACGCCTCACTGTCCCTGACTCCTGTCCCTCCTCCAGCGCGTCAACGCTCGCTCCGGAACGCACGGGAAGCCCACGTCCCTGACGTGACAGGTCAGGGGACACACAAACTATGACAGACACCTCAAACTCTTCACGGTGACTTACTGCACGGAAGTGGGCATCCGTCCACCAGCGTCCTAACAGAAGGGCAAGGCCTTTGCGTCGGCTCCACGGACGGGAGCTCCTGTGCATCCGTCTTCTTACGCCGTTGCCCTGACGCAGTTGCCGCTTCCTGCTTGGGTTTCCGTCGAGCGCAGATACGAGACACGTAGGAAGGAGCCTGTGACCCAAAGCGCAGCGTTTCCTGTTGTTTTTCTGGCCTGTACTTTTACGGAGCTTTTCCAAACCCCCTGACCTCGTTTTCCCTAGAAATGAGCATCGGTTCTCATATTTCATTGTTTCAGTATTGCTATGAATACACTTATTTAAAATTTAATTTTAAGGGCAGCGAGTGCACACAAATTTGGAAATCAGACCGATGCTTGGTAACCAGCTGTCTTGGTGGCGGGACCTGGGGGAACAGAGGGTGCCGGTGAGGAGCTGACCAGCCAGGACCATCCGGGGTGACATGGGCGTCACTGTATGCGTTTTGCAGAGAAGATGGAAAACTTTGGCAGGCCAGTTAAGTGCGTGTTCCGAGGTTGGGGGGCAAGAGGGTGGCTTTCCTCACACCTTGAATCGATCCAATTCTCTCCATCACCACTGCCACCCCGTGTCCCAATGACCAAAGTATCTCACATGAGCTCCTGCCATGTCAGACTTCCTTCTGCGGCCTCTAAACATGACTTCACCCTGCCAGCTGCACTCCCTGATGGCAGCCCACATGGCCACCTTTCTGTCCCTTGAGTCTGTTAAGGTCCTCTGCCTCCTCTCCCTGCCACAGGCCCTGTCTAGTTCCTAATTTTCTCCAACTCTTGGAGGCTCAGAACCTTCCAAACTCACTGGCCTCTTAATCCAATTCTATTCACGAACGTACTTTAAAATGGAGCAGGCCTGAGGTTGAGCTCTGGCCCTGCCCTTACCAGGTGGGCTAAGTTACCTTGCCACTCTACAACTCAGTGCTCATTTAAAATGGAGACGGGAACGGTGCTCACCAGCACAGGAAGGGCGTGTGAAGTGCTCGGCAGACAGCTGGCGCCTCCTGCAGCCCGGAAATGGCACCATAAACCCCAGGTCAACATGGGGGGTGCCGGCCTGCTAAGCGAGGCAGCATGCAGTTTTGTGTGCACATGTAAAGATGGGTGCCAGTCAGGCATTTTGGCCTCATCCAGCGCCCACCACACTGTGTTCTAGAAAGATAACTCAGTGACAGTCAGGAGACTTAAAAAAAAATAATAAAAAAAATAAAAAAAGCTACCTGCAATGCTGAATTGCCCATATTCCTACCTTTTGCAGTCTTACTCACTGATGGCAGAATCTCTGTTTGAATAGCCATTTTCATGCAAACGCGTTTTTAACACCCCCAAGCTGGCAACAAATTGGAGCTCACCTCTTCCAGCTGGACAGGGCTCTTCTTCTTATTCACCACCCGTACTAGCCTTTTACCGCTCACTGAATGTGCTCAAGACTTTCCCACTTCAAAGGCTTCAAACAACATTTTCTCTACATTGTCTTTCAGTGGAAGAATAAAGCCAAACCTCATTAGGGAATTCTCAACCTTCTACTTCTGCAGCCTTTCCACTAAGTCTCGTTTCATTAGTGACGCTTGCAAATTGTTTTATCAACGCTGGGAGTTACAATGAATCTTCCACTGTAAATGCATGAAACAAAAGGCATTTTGTTTAAGGACACAGAGAAATAAGGGAATTGTGGAAGCTCCTCTCTTTGTGGTCAGATATCAAACTTCCTTAAACGTATTCTTGGAAGCGTTTTTCATCTAACTCAGTCTCACCTTTCAAGTATGTCAAAGGAATAGTATGGATTTAGTGTGCTGTCAAGACATGCACATGACATGGAAGTCACTTCTAAATGTCTTTTCAAGGTACAGCATGGCCACTGTGACTCAACATACAGTGTGCCTTGGGCCTTGGTTGGCTCTTTCAATTACAAAGGGAGTTTCAAACTTAGCAATGTTTGAAAGCAAACATTATGTGAGTAACTTTATTGCATTATTTTTTACAAGCTTCTGCTATATAGTAGGAGGAGCTATGCTCTAAGAACGTTGCATTTTGAGAGTTGGAAATAAAAATTTCTCCCCACGCAGCTGATACACCTGCCCAGGTTGAGATTTCAGTCCATGTCGGTGAAGTCTGGAAAAATACTGGTGAGAGACCGAGTCTGCGTTGGCCTCGGGTTCTAACGAAGCGTCCTGCCAGCTAAAGCATTGCTTTCAGTTACCCAACAGTGTATATAATCTGCAGTCAGGCCCTCAGTCGGCAAACACCGGCCACCTTCTGAGTGGCAGGGCATGTCCGTGACATGTGCTGTAATGCCGTACACGGCCTTTCATGATCCAGCTGCCTCTCCAATCCCCACCATGAGCCCCGAGCTACGACATGCTGTGTCCCAGCTCTGCGTGGGACGTTCCCACTGGGACAGCCAGGAAGTTAAGAGCCACAGCGCCCTGTGCATTCCTTTAGTGGACTGCTTACTACCTGGGGCTGTACCCACCTGTGTAAGCCCACTCACCACATAGATCACGCAGCCTGGGCAGACCAGGGCCACAACGGTTGTTTGTTTGTGTCTGAGCATTGTACTTGGGTCCTGTGAATTCCTTGAGCAGCAGTGTGGTAGGCTGCCCCGTCCAGCAAGGCACCTCCCAGTTACCACGGTCGCAGGCCACCTGTGCTCAGGAAAGGCAGGACCACCCCAGGTGTCACGCCTGCAGAGGCACCCAAGAACGAGAGAAAGCAAACGCATGGGTTCCAGGCGACTTCCTTCCAGGCTCCATTAGACCATATGGCCTGCCTTGTTGCCTAGTTTACAAAGAACTGTTTGCATTTCTGAAGTTCCAATTAATACAAATCCGGACCGTTATCCATTTCCCACAAACGGAGCTGCCTGTGGCCATTGCAGCGGGCGGGAGGCCGGGCCTCACGGTGTGCTTGGAGTGCCGCCTGGTGGCCGCGGCGGGTGTAGCACTTGGTGACATCTCATTCCGTGCAGGGAAAAGCGGAGGGCAGGTGTCAGGGATGATACAAATGAAAGTCCCAAGGCCTAAAAACACGGGCTGCTGTTTTACAGGCTTGTCGCGCGTAAAGGAGGCGTATCCCAAGGAGATTTACCTTGAGTTACTATCTCATGGAAGAAAGCGGGAGCGCTGAATCAGGGTAGATCTCAAATGGCCTAAACAGGCGTCATTTCATTTGCTGTATTTTTGGTGGGTTTTCCCCTGTGTCTCCATAAGGTAGAAACATGAAATTGCCCCTTGCCTGACCCATTTTCATATCTGAAGTGCTAAAAGTCACTATCAACTGTTTTGAATTTTAATAAACCTTTGACTTCATTTCCATTATTTTACCGAGTTTTCACTAAGCTGCCAGCTGCACAACATTGACAGGTGCCCATTTCTAAAAAGCTTAAATAACTCCCTACCAGAACTATTCCCCATATTACCCTTTTCCTAGTCTCACGTTCTCTTTATTCCTTTACAAAAACTTTCCTTATTCTTTAACTCCATTGTTTTGGTGTTTTTTAGCTTCAGCTAGTTTTCTAACAGTAGTAGGTTTGATAACTTTGTGTCACCTTAGTTTGAAAAAAATAAAATTCTTCCTTTGTACTCCATATCTTCCTTTAGAGGCTGGCGTTTTATATTCTGAGAGAAGTAGCTTTGTCACATAATATAGGAAAGCTACCACTTGACTGGATGGACATGGGACACTTTTTTCCATATTGTCCAAACGTGTCCTAGAAGCTAGGAAGCCTCCTGGATTTGCTCGTGTCTCCCACTCCACGTCCTCGGTTGCAATTCCCACTCAGTAGGTGTTAGCCTGTTCCTCTGCCACCCTCTTCTCTCTCCAGCTACAATTTGCTGACTCCAAATATTGTTAGATTTCAATCCCCCTATTGACCTCATAAAGATATTTGTAAATATTTATTTTACAAATGATGGAAATGGGGGTCAACAATGTATCTCCCCAGCGCTCATTCAAGAGAGGGCTTAGTCCCTCATTTGCTTGAAGCCTGATCTGGGGCACGCCCCTCCCAAGATGACACACTCTTTTCAGGGCAGCCACATTCAATGACTGATCCCAGGAGGGGTCGTCTCCTCTCAGACATGACTCCAGAGGGTCTCATGGGGTCAGCGAAGGCCTCCTTTGAGACTGCATTTTTTCTTTTCAGAATAAGACGTCACCTCTTGAAAATTTTGTTCTTAACAATTTGTCATTTTAGTACTTCAGGGTGTCAGTGCACTCATGGATAATAAGAAATGCACCTCCTGCCGTAACCCTAACCAATAGAAATAGAGTGGGAGCCACACACGTAAGTTTAAACGTCCAGGCAGCCACATTCGAAAAAGGTAAAAGAAAACAGGGGAAGTAAACTGTAATAATATATTTCATTTAAACCAATGCACCTAAAATAACATTTCAACATCAAATTTGTATAAAAGTACTAATGAGATAGTCTCCATTCTTTTTACACTAAGTCTTCGAAATCCAAAGATTGGGATGCCAGTTTTCTTTTAGTTGTTTTGTGGTTGTGACTTTTTTAGCTTTTATGTTCCTTTAAGTCTGAGGGGCTTTTGTCCTGGGATGCAGTTAGGCTACTTGGAATCACTTCATTCTTTTTACTCGCTTTTCAGTCCTTCAGCCTTTAGTCTAGGCATAATTTGAGCTCCCTGCTGAGGCCACACCCTTCTGAGGATGCCATCTGATGACTCCTGTGTTAGGAGGTCCTCCCACTATGGCTAGTGGGAACACAAGCTTTCCGCGACCTGTGTGAGCCCTGGGGATGTGCCTACTTCTGTCCAGCAGTTCTTGGCTTCAGTAGTTTCCTAATTCATGCACGCGGACGAGTTCTCAGCCAAAGATGAAGGGGGCCGTCTGCCAACCTCCAGAGCACGTTCTCTCTCTCTCTCCACCCCACCTCTCCCTCTCCCACTCTCCCCCACACCACCGGGGGCTGTGTGTGTCCTTCGCTGTGAAGGCAGTGAGCTCGACACTGGAAGGGTTCCCTCCATTTGTTTCTCTCTCAGGAATTAGTCTCACGCTGCCTGTTGTCCAGTGTCTGGAAACTACTGTTGCATGTATTTTGTCCAGTTTTCTAGTTGTTTGAGGGTAGAAGGCACCTCCACTTCCTGTTATGGCCCAAAAGATGTAAAAACTGAAGAGCCGTTCATCTAAGAACCATTTATTGAATGTCTGCTGTGTATGAGAAACTGTGCAGACAGCTGGGGAGACCCTACTGAACTGAACACAGCTCATGCCCTCGTGAGTACCACAGACCAGCAAGGAAGAACATCACTGAGTAATAAGTCAAGTAGTTATGCAATATCAGCTGTGCTAGGCGACAGGAGAGAAGGTAGAGCATCATGAACGCATATGACAGGGAGACCTGATTTAGTCTATGCAATCAAGAAAACTTCTCAAGATGACAGACATTTTAACGAAGGTTTAAGACATCTGTAAGATTACGGATCTGTGCTGTGGAGGGTGAGAGACTGCTAAGGCCCGTGGCAGGATGGAACCATTAGAGATCACCAAGTCCAGCCCTTAGATGTCCCAATAAAGACACGAAGCCTCAGAGTACGACCTGCCTCCTTGCACTGCGTTTGCAGCAGACCGGGGGCGGGAAGGCAGGACCCCTACCTCCAGGTCTAGCGCGCTCTCTCCTTCACCGTGTTGCTAAGCAAACGGAGGGAATACTAGAACATTTTATACAGAGACATTTGTCATTTTATGGTCCATGACATATCATGGGCGATACACAATTTGGTAATTGGCTTTCATTTAAAAATAATGACGGCCAAAACGTTATTCAAGATATACTTTTAATTGCCTCTGTTGTTTTTTTTTAATGTGTTTACAAGGAATATGCCATAAAGTGTAAATGAATGTACAAGGGAGCACAAAACGGGAGACCATGAAGACTCACGCAGTGGCCTGGGAGTGTTCGCACGGCTCCCCAAGTGACTAAATGACACCCAGGGGGCTCTCGCTCAGCGGTGTAAGCTGTTTGCGCTTTCAGACATTTGGGGAAATGCATCCAATGCCCCATTCCCAGCTTAATTGGCATAATAAATGTCAATTAGAGCTCCTTTAAGGTTTTAAATGGCAAAACTCAAGTGGAACTGTGTGTGTAGATATTCGCACCAGCCTTCTCTACAGAAAACCTCTCCTCCGAGAGACCTGGCGTGTTTACACCGACCGTGGGCTCGTGTCTTCCAAAGAGGACGCCCCACCACGCACTTGGATTTGCAAAGGACACAAAGTTATTCACCCAGCTCTCCTAAACGCATCCCTCCGAAGTGCCTTATAAACTGTTACATGTTTTGTATATGAAGAGGATCCTGTCTCCTTTCAACACATGTGTGGAGAGCACCAAGTAAGGGCCAGGACTGAAAAACAGTCGTGAGCAAGGTGGAGTGTCGCTCCCGTCAAATGGAGACATCCCCCAAGATGCCGCCAGGAAGTCCCTTTTCATCCCTGGTTCTGTCAGACACGACTCCTTTTTTGAACTTTCACTTATGAGACTTCAAAGACAATTATTCATCCAGTGTAAATATAAAACAGGGTCTTTGTTAACGTCGGAACTTGGCAAAAAAAACCTTTTTTTTTATGTCCTATGTACAGCTCATTCACTTAGGTGTCCAAAAATTCCGTTTTAATTTAAGTAGCCCAAGCTGACAAGTGTTTGATGTCATCATCCTCTTCCTCTGCCCTCCTGGAAGATGCTAGAACATAAAATAAATAAAAATCAGTAATTGGTGACAGGCCCACTTTCAGCATAGAAAACTATGTATTAAAAAGGTATGTAGTGGGCCGGCCAAGTGGCACGATGGTTAAGAGCTGGCTTGGGACGCCAGAGGGCCCCGGTTCGGATCCCACATATGAGGGCCAGTGACACTGCCCTCTACANAAAGCCTGGAAAAAGTGATCCCAGAGAGCGCTGAAAATACATACATAGTTGGTTACATCCTCATTTGCTTTTAACGAGGAAGTCTCACAATTACGTTGTTTTATTGGAAAAACTTCCATCAACTTTAATGGAAGCCCCCTCCTTACTCCCATACAAGTCACTTCATTGATTAAAGAACGCCTTCTGTTTGTGGCAGCTTGTTTTATATAGTTCTCGAAACACACAATCCGAATAAGCATCCTCACAAGCATTCCGCCAACGGAATAAAACCACAGTTTCCGTTCAAAGTGAAGGGTTAGATTAGAAACAGCTGGGGCGAATACTAGAAAATTCTAGCACTCATTTGGCCAGGGCCGCCTCATCGCGAATTTCCCCAGCTTTCTTCACTTTTGTAAAACATTCCTAATCCATCCATTTGTCAGTCCACAAGCATGGAGGAAGTTCGGCCACCTGAGGCGCTGTGGGGACAAAGCCATAGGCTCCAGTCTCTGAGGAGTTGAAACAGGAAACGGGCTTTCAGTCACTTATTCCTCACTCATGAGCATTTGTGACCCGCCTCCTCTGTTACAGGAGCTGTGCCCAGGGCTAGAAGCATGCCTACATTGCATCCTTCACCTCAAGCAGCAGAGGGGACGCAGAAGGGATGACAGGAGACGTGTACAAGGTTCAGGGGCTACACAGAGGGGTGTGCAGCTCTCTCTGGAGAGCCAAGGAGCGCGTGCCAGAGGAGGCCCATGTTGAAGCAGGTGGCTGTCCACACGTGGACTCAAACACATTGCTCACGGGAAACATAAATGATGAAAGACATCGCACAGACGGCCCCTTCTAGCACCCCCGCCCCACCACCACCACCACCACCCTCTCCCCTACTGCAGATCTGCTAACCCGTGCCGAGTTTCTGGCTGAGATATATTAGAAACCAGAGACTCTCAACCTCAGAATTGAGCAAGTCACACCAGCTTTTGCCACACTCGCTGGATCAGATAAGTAACCTGCGCGTTTTAGAGGGCTCACCAATATCGAATGCCATAAAAAGGTAAACTGCAAGCTACACTGAGTCCTCTGACTAGAACACAGCGGTGCCGTACGGGACTGCACAGTGGCAAAGCGGGTACCTGAGGGGACAAGGACAGAAACTGAAGGCACATTCTGAGGAAAGGGTATCAGGAAGTGGACTAGGGCTGCACGCCAGCAATTAACGTGGGGATGAGTTTTTGTGTTAAAAAAAAAACAAAAAAAACGGTGATGGATTAACATGAAGTGTAGATTAGAGAGAGAATGATCGGTGTCCTCTCTCATCTCCAGAAAGATAGCAAATGGACCAGGAAACTAACACTATTTATTTTCCAACAGAAGAATGGTTCTCTCCTCATTCTGAAGAGCGCATGGTTCCTTTCGGAGAGCAGGTGGCTCTTACCACCAGGACCTCACACAGAGATGATGGGCGGAGGCAGGTCGGACAGGGGAGGGTCATGACCTCAGCGTGTGATCAGCCTTGAGTTGTCACAAAAGGAAGAAATGCTTCCATGGAAGGCTGCTTTTAAACGCCCACTGAAATTCTTATTTCTTATAATTAATGGCTTCCGAGGTAAACTGCCAAGCAAGTAGAATTGGCCTGTTATTGGAACAACAGACCAATGTATTAATTAAAATCTACTTGATATTCTTTGTAAAAGCCCAGTTACTGTTTGACACCAGGCAGAATATATAACTAGTCTAATGAATGAGTTATTTTACTTGCTACTACTATTGGGTTGTCGGGAAAGTCATGATGTATTTTTCCTGTTTTGCGTTGCAAAAATGCGTCATGACTTTTCCGACAACCCAATATTATTAGTAAGCTCACAAATTGGTAACCCTGTAGACCTGCTGTTGCCTAGAATACAGGAAAAACAGTATGAATATGAAACCAGCAACATTAAACAGAAAAAAATCAGAAATAGGTGATTATACTTAATTCTACAGGGTGGATATGAGTACTTATGGATGTAGTTTTATATTATATGTGTGTACACGCGAATATGTGTATATGTGTATGTGTGTATATGTATATGTGTGTATTAATGTGTGTGTGTGTGTGTGTGTGTTTTCTAGAATATGGTTCTACATTCTACTTATAAACAAGTATGTTCTATTAACACGATGCAGAGTTATTTTCTACCACTGTGCCCGTGGCTTACAGGTCCCCCTGAGAACCCCCAAACTATATCCCTCGAGCCCCCTTCACTTTCACTCTCTGTGGTTGTATGATTATTCCTTTGAGATCCTACGATCACCAAATCTCAAGAAATTCATAGCTCCTATCCCCAGGGTGACTATTACTATTTGAAGTTACTTAAGAATAGGGTCACCTTGAAACTGGTGATGACCTATGCTATACTTTCGTTTTTCAGACATAAGTGGGAGAACGATCCCCAATAAATCAAGGTAGTTTCCATAAATAAAACTTTCAAACTGCTCACAAAACGATAACATATAGGCTGTTGCATACGTGATCTTTAAAATAGGTATAAATTGGTTTAACACAATAATAATGTTTTTTTTTCTTGCTGCAATAGAAACTTTGAGTTAGAAAAAGATCTTTGTTCAGACTCCAAAGCTATATTTACTTTCACTTAGCAGGTATAAAACATATGGAAAGAATTGGTCTTGTAAATAGCAGCACGGCCCACTGAGAAAAACCTGTTGAACGATGTTATTGCTATAGAATATAGGACACACCCACTCTGACCAGGCAGCATATAACCTGTGTGAAAGAACTAAACGATTCATTAGAAATTCATGTTTGAATAGAAAATAACATGTCCAAAGCGCTCATCAGATATTTGGTTGCACCATTTCATTCCTCTAAATTCCTATGTAAGGCAAATATAAAAGTGTAAACTTCACATTTCAAAGCTAGGTGGTTGACACTGAACTTTAATTTTTAAATAAAGACTTGAACCTCTAATGCAAGGGTTCCTGACTTTTAGCAGATAATCATCAACTTTTCCTATCCTGTAATTTTAAAATCACCATTCTCGTCGGCTTGCTTTTAGGGGTTTGCTTTGTTTTGAAGGTAGCAATGCCAGTGTTGGTACTGATGTCACTAGATTGCTAGCCTGAGGAAGAGCTGATGGAGGTGACACGGAGCGAATGCGAGCGGGGCTTTAGCTGCCCCTCCCCCCCTCACTGGAAATACCCACAAGGTAAAAAAACCTAAGTAAAGCACGTGGCAGTAGCCTGGAACAGCCGATGTGCAGGCTTAGGAGCAATTCTTGCTTGAAAGCAGTACCATATAAACTCTGTACTAAGCCCCAAATAGTTCCAGAAGCAATTCCCTATTAGCACCATTTGTCTGAGGTAAGGAATCAAAACCTCAGGTACAGGAAAGTCAATTATTGAGGAAATAATGGCTTACTGCCTGTTTTATATTTAATCCACATGCCTGCGTTTTGGTTCCTCCTCATTCTGCAAATATTTAAGCCAACTGTGTGTTTGTTAAAACCTCTATCAAATCATAGAGAAAATGGGAAGAGCTAATATTACTCACACGTACAAAAAGTTCTGGTGAGAGTTTTTAGTAAGGCAAAGAGTGAGAATGTGACTTAAAACAATAAATCCTCAATATTATCTATATAGCTTAAGTATCTGTGATAATGTTGTCCCTTAAATATACAAATAGATTCAGAGGTACTTCAGTACATGCTGAAAAATGAAACCAAAATAGGTCATTCACACCCTTTCCAAAACTTACCCACAAAGCAAAGCAACGTAAATGAAAAAAACCTCAGTATTGAATCCCTTGCCTTATGTCTCATGGGTTAGGGTAGGATGAGTTTTTTCTTGTCTGTTATCTTTAAAATGAAATCGGATCAGAAATAAGTAGTCCTAAATACTGAGAAACACACCGCTAATGCGAAGCAAGGCAGAAGGCAAGCCCACAGTGATTCCCTGCCATCGGTTCTTGAATCTGTACGGATTGCATGCCTTTGGCATAATAAAGTTAGTGACCAACTTTCTACCTCATTCTACCTTATTGTGGCTGATTCCATAAACATCAAAATACCCTAAATCAAGGAAAACTATATTCTCTACTTAATGTAAGTATTTCCCAAAACGTGGCAGGCTATTATCCAGCTCTGTGGCATTTACATGAAAAAGAAGAATAAGTGAGTGTTCCCATGTTTATAATGCCACTCCGAATTCCTGAACGAGAAAAGCCAACTAGATGTAAAGTTCCGTTAACACAAGACACAGTACCAATTAGCCTTCTAGAAGCAGCCATCGCACATCAGCAGACTGTCAAATTTCCTGCCGCAGATACTTGAAAGAATGATTCTAGAAAAGAAATACTCTGCACTCTAGTTTCTGAGCAAGCAGAAAAGAAGGCAGTGGTAACTCGAAGCCAATCTGAGTTCACAAAGATGAAAACTACCAAACTAACTCTGAGGCATCTTTGCTCTGGGTTCCTGGAGGCTGACTCAAGGCAAAACCCTATACCTCCATGGTTCTGCTAACCTTAGGACCACCAAAACCATCCAGAAAGCTCTGAGTACCACAATCTGGAACCTTATCCCCTCACCTCTTGACAAAGAATCTCCTGGCGTAGCATTTTTAAAAGCTTTCCAGATGCTCTGAGGACGTCAACAGTATCAGTTCATAAACCAGCATGTGTGACCCATGGGTGTGTGAATGGAGTTTGGTTTTAGGGCTGTCGTTCATAAGATATATTGAGGCATTGTTCGAGAAAAGAGATAAAGTCGGAAATTTCAGATGATAATGGCGAGAAGTATAGCTCAGGTGTATCAGTCACAGCTGGATGAATAACTGAACTCATTGAGTGTTGATCTATCAAACTGGTAAGCACGCCTTAGCGGAATCTTTGATGGNAAGAGCGCAATGATAATACCAACATGGGCCAGTGAAGCAACGTCCTCCACAACTAGACTGAAGAACAAAAGGACAGCAACTTGTCTGTTCCCCTTCTCTGATTCCCTAACGCTGTTCCCATCCCCCAATTCCCCAATAAAATCTTTAAAAAAAAAACAAAAAAGTCTGTAGTTATAGGATAAAAAAATAAGTGATAAAAGGAGAGGACTGGCTGTCATTTTAGGCAACCACATGACCACAGGCAAGGGACAGGGGGACAGACCTGCTCGGGAACGCTGCGCCGTGGACGGCAGGCCCGCCGTTCTGCCTGGCGTCCTGTCAGGCTGTGCTGGCAGGGCAGAGGAAGGCACATTTGGAAGTCGGATGCCTGTCATCTTCTTATTTAATTCTTCCTGCTCCAGTTCTTCAAGTTCTGCCATCAACTCATCCTGAACATGGGGAGAAAGAAAGAATTATGGAGTTAACGTTTCGAGCAGCGGGTTTCCTCAAACACAATAACAAGAACATCTGCTACCCAATTGATATGTGAGAACCCAGTGAAATGGGATACTTATGTTAAGACGAAGTCTTCTTTTGCAACACTGAGCAATGATTAAAAATGAATATTTTGGGTTGTGCAAATTTGTCGTAGTTAATCTTCTAATACTTCAGTAAACAGTTGTTCAAGTAATTTGTGCTAGCCAACTATAAAACCTCCAGTTTCCAGGAAATTTATACCTTGCCTGTCAGTTTTCCAGCCTCTTTTCTTTTCTGCTGTTAGAAATTGAGAATCTGTGAAACATTCACTGGAAGAAATAAATATTCTCATTTGGGCTAGTGCTATTGAAAATAAAACAAAGGTATGGCAGAAGCATAATGAACAGAAAGTAAAAAGAATCCAAGATACTATGGTTCCTTTGTCAAATGACCAAAGCCCCTATAAATATGCTGTGTGTTGGGGCTGGGAAAACTCCGAGTCAAGGCAGGTGTTACTGTATATCTTTCTTTTAGCGACCGTTCCAGAATCTGGTTTAATTCTAAACTGCTCTCTATCCCAAGCCCCTTAGAGTCCCAAGACTAGTTTGAGATTTTAAGGGCATAAGTCACCTGATGACAGGTAGGACATGACTTGTAGTTTCAGAGCTAACCAGCTCCGTGGGGCCTCAGGTAGAGTCCAACTCCTTTGAGAGAGGGGGTTGGGAGTTTAAACTAAGTTTGTCCTCGTTAGACTGCTGAGGTTGTCCTCATTACAAGTGACCCAAGACACTCTTCTAGTCGACCAAGGAGAGTCTTCGTTTCTTAATTTATTCATCATCGAGCAAATTTATTCAGAGCTCACTCCTGGCCTGACCCTGAACTCAGGTCCGGGGATGCAATGCTGAACAGTCCCTGCCTTGACGATGGCTGAGTGTGGGAGAAAAGCACAAAAGCAAATAATTCACCTCTATTAAAACAAGAGTAAACAATACCATCGGCCGGAAGAGGAGATCCGTAAGCCAGCCACAACATTTGGTCACCTGTGGGTATCAGACATGCAGCAAGCTGAACTGTCTGACCACTTGGCTAAATGGGTACATCTACCCATGAAAGGGAAAGAAACCATGAACGTGGGTGTGAGCGAGTGTGCCCAGTGTAGCGGTGTGCCGTGTGGTTCTCCACGGGCTGGATGGGTCAAGTCCCTTCAGAACAAATATCCTGATGTCCCATTTCTACTCACAAAACAATCAGGGACAAATATAGTCCATATCCTAATGGCAGAGCTCGCTATCCTACACGGAATGCATGTCCAAAATACCCAGTAATGCTTGATAGTTATCAACAGCCCCGGAAAGGCTTGGATATTTTCTTTAGCAAATACGATGACAGAATAATGATCTCCTCCATCACGTTCACACGTCAGGTGCCCGTCACTTATTCATTCATTGGTAAAATAATTTTAGAATTTAAGAAACCGTAGAGATAAGCTAGTGATCCAGTAACTTTAGATAGATAGATAGATAGATAGATAGATAGATAGATAGATAGATAGATAGATATAGATTAGAAAACTAAAGGGCAGACCAGTGAAAGGCCTTATATAAACTGCAGTGAAACGACAGAGCCCAGAGGTCGTCAGGAGCCCCGAGCCCGTGGGTGCTCTTTAGCCTAACCAGGGCTGGGCAAGCTTTCTGTAAATGGCCACACAGCACTCTGCAGGCTATGCAGGCCACACACGGTCTCTTGTCACATAGCTCCTCCATTGCTAACGGTTATTGGTGGTGGTGTTTTCTCCACTCCTTTAAACACGTAAAAACTATACTTAGCTCATGGGCTAGGATTTGGCCTGAAAGCCAACATTTTCCAACTCCTGGGCTACACGCTGTTTAAAAGTTGTTGGCCCCCCAATCCTCATTTTCTGGGATTCCATGGAGCCACATCTCCCCTTAGTCGGGGTGTCATTTTTAATGCCATGTAGATGGAGGAAGTCACATTCTTCACCATGCTACTCTAAGAACTGGAAACATTTCCAAGTCTGCCCCATCCTACTCGTGTGTGCTTTGAATAGGACCATTGACGCTCGCAGTGCAGACGCCACCATTCTAATTACAGTCTGTCTCATGGGCTGATTAATCTAAGTGGAATGTGTGCGTTAATAATGGCTGTCTAGGTTGACTTTGTTTCATAGCCTGAGTAATCAACAGAGGCAGCCTAACCTCTAATTTAACATCCACAGAGCACGACGCGTCTGTTCCTTGCAGAGTCACAGAGTCTGGTTTGTTTTGCCCGGATGTGCAAGTACTCGATTCCTCTTCGTAATGGGCCATTTAGGCTTCCATCACTAAAAGTCACCAGCTTCCCATCAGCACATGCTGCTCTTCCTTAATAGCTGAAAACTTAACGAGGGGGCTGTTTGCCAAATGGCATTACTCCTTGCTTTAGATCAGAGCTACTAGCACCGCACTTACCTCCTATGTACATTGCTAGCAAATATCATTTCTTCTTTGATGACATTTAAGGAAATATTTAAGGAGCCCTGCCTGCGCTACATGGTGGGAAGCGAGTCTTTGTCGCAGCCATCATGCTCCATCCTTTATGCTGTGTCACCCACCTACCTCATCAAAGTCATCACCAAATCCAACCCGTTGAGAAAATGCTTCTGAGATTTCTTGGGCAACGTCCTGCTGCTCCGTGATCTCTTGCATCAGATCATCTATTTTATTCAGATCCCTGAGAAAGAATAGTTGGTTGAAATATTTTAGGATTTTACTTTATAATTATGAATTTAGATATAATCCCATGTAAATTATGAGTCCATTTAATATAAGCGCTGACCGGCTGAGTGGCTCAGTTGGTTAAGAGCTCGCTCAAGAGTGCGAGCTCTGAGCAACAGGGTCAGGGATTCGATTCCCAGCCCAAGCTGAGCTGCTGCTGAGCTGCCAACAGGTGGCAGGATGGCTCAGCTAAAAAAAACCAAAAAAACAAAACC